GAGGGCTTTATTTGAACTACAACCCCAGATCGCCACCTCGTTCAGATGCCTGCCCGGTAAGTGAAGATTTCTCCTATGGGCTTGTTCGCCAGGTTGGTGGGGGTGGAGGAAGTGGGGGAGGCGGCCGCCTTTCGCCGGGCCACCGCCGATCGGGTGATCGGCCCCCCCGCGCCAGCGCCCTCTCCGAGGGACATCGCTAATTGGCTGGCTCACCACTGCCCGGGGTTATCTCCCACATGCCCACGTACACCACCACAAAAACGAACGCGGTGGAGTGCATGCACGCGCGCCCCTGCAGGCGCGTGTTTTACACAAAGGTGCGAATCAAAATAAACTGCGGCAGTATGAATATGCGCACGCCCCTCCAGGTGGCTAAGCCCCAATCTGCAAGCACACAAAGGCTAATGCTAAAGGGCTGTATGAATACACGCGCATGCCTCACCATTAATGATATTACTGCTGTGCAAATGCCAACGAGCGGGTTTATCTCACCCTGCCCCCGCCCTCTTTACTCACGCGGCACACTGCAGGCGCGCGTTTTGCATAAACGCTAGCGCGTGTAAACACGCGTAAACACGCGCGCTAGCATCGGTGGCCATGTATGTTTTAATACACGCGCGCCTCACACACGCGCTCAAATTACCAACACCGCGCCGACGCTGCAGCCCCACGCTCGCTCTCTCCCGCACACCGTCTCCCCGCGCAGTCGCGCGACACTGAAGTTGCAGACACCACGCCGAGGTTCTACCCACAAACACAGACATCACACTGCACCGATACTCTGAAATAAAGTTTATTAACGGCGTAAATACACACTACCTGGAGGTGGCATATTTTGCGAGGAGAGTCTAGCTTAACTCTGCCTATGAACCCAGCCACACAGACGTCCTACCACGTACCTCGAAGCTCGACTCGCGGCGTCCCACGGACGCTGAGAGAGTCGGAGGGAGAAGGACTAGGGAAGAATTGACCTATCACTGTCTCGCAACAGCACTCGCTGGCATCACACGGGTGCTGTGAGCCACTCGAAGAGGCAGGACGGCAGGGAGAGGGTCTTGACTGCCCGGAGGTTGAAGCCAAGAGAGCGAAATCGTCCCCTGGCTCTTTTTATGCTCTAAACTTCAAAGGCCCAGGGTGACATCGTACCTGTGCTGCCGCTCCTTTTTATTTCTTCTCCCAGGGGGGAGTGCTGCTGCTCCATCCACCCATTGTTCTCCCATGCCCAGTAGTTCTAGTCTACGGGTCTACTCTCTTTGCCTAATATTCCACTCTCCCAATGTCGTGAATAACTTATTGCAGTTGGCCCAGTGAACCTTTTCCTTCTGCGCCCACAACAATTGTAAGCCAATTTAGGGGCACCGCAATGTAACTTGTCCTGTGAGGGTCGGCCAATCTCCTGGCACCGGGAAACCGTGAGACTCACCTTCTAGGGGCCCTTCGGATTAAAACCCGATGTGCCAGGCAATCCCCCGCCAGGACACGATGTGGGTGTGCTGCGTGTGGGTATGTGTTTAGTGCGAGGGCCAAGAGGGAATCTTTGCTCCGTGGTCGTGGCACCACAGAAACCCTCCGGTACAGCACCGCGTGACCACAGTCTCTGACCCAGGCTGCACGGAGACTTGGCGGGTCCCGTGGTTCACAGGGCGCCACGGTGGCAAGATGTTAGCTACCTTGCTTAGCATACAGGAGGTCATGGGTTCGTATGTATGTATGTTGAACTTCTTTCGCACCGTACGTAGCCAACCGTTCTAATCGGAGGTTAGATTTTGACCTTGATGCCTGTATATTTGGAGTTTGCATGTTCTCCCCGTGGTCGCGTGGATTTTTCTCCGTGTCCTCCAGTTTTTTCCTCCACATTTAGAATCAACACGCGTATTTGGCTGCTATAAATTTCCACGGGATAAGCCACTTTGTTGAGCTATCATTTATGGCCAAGTCGCTTCTGAAAAAGAGCAATATAGTTTCGTGGGCCTTACCTGGAAAAAGAAAATAGTTTAAAGTTTTTGTAAATATCGTTTATAGGGTCTCACGCTGCTTGGCGGGCCACCTGATTTTGTCAGTGTAATCTAAGCCCAGGCTCACTCGCGTGCGAGTGATCTCGCTGGAGACTCTTCGCCAGGCCCCATTACCTTGTAGGCACAGTGCAATACTCGGGACAGACATCCCAATGTCCAGGGCCATCTTGTGTAAAAGTCTTGAGACTCAGCGATGCCTCCTTGAAAAAAAAACGTGATGTCAATTCAGAGTGTCTCTCCACTCAAGCGAGAATTGTGGCAGAGCTGATGTATGTTGCAGAATCTGAGTCAATGGTGGACATTCCACATTCCAATGACTAAGGTCAGTTTATCTTTATGCTAACCACTATTTCTCCAAACGAAGTGGTACTCATGTTATCGACTCCATTGGGATGATGGGCTAAGAGGTCCCTTCAACCGAGATAAGAACGAGCAGGCTTGTGGTTGTGTTTAGGGGTGCTGACCACAGGATCCTCGCTCGGCTAACTGCGTGCTCACAGGGGCTTCCTGCTGTCAGCAACTGTTCTCATTTACAGAGCTTTAATCCATCCACTGTTGGTTGAAGATCTCCCCATGCCGTGTCGTTCATGGGGGTTGTTTGACAACGCTGGTACATGTGGGAGGGTGTGAACGGGGTTGGCCCAAGCCCAGTTCAGACATCACTTTATCCAATGGTGTTAGCCGTGGCCAGTCACTGAGTTCGTAGCACAGTGCGTTAACCATTGTCCCACCACTCTGACTAGAGGCTGCCCCGTGATGGCAAAATAATTCAGCAGAGTCCATGTTAACCGTCAGCATTTCTTAATCAGGGAGACTCTGGCCACCCGGTATCAACTCTCCCGGTCTCATCAGCACTTGTCTACCACGCTCATGATGCGGACATCTCCTTCATAAGTGGAACATTAAAGACAAAAGCCACAGTGGTATGAGTGTGGCCATGCAACCAAAACTATGGGCCATATAGTAAACCACTGTAGCCTGTGCTTGTTCTGGACAGGAGGAATAGCGAAACTATGCAAACTCTCTCTGCGGAAGTCCTCCCATTGTGGCTTTCAGACCTCGACATTGGTATCTAGCTCCTGAACGAATTGCTGCCATCATGCGCAAGAATAGAATAGGTTATGAATGTAACCGGGCACGGTAGCTGAGTGATACCGGTCCAGCGCCCAGCCCTGTCCTCACCGAGCCGTGGCCTATACTGGGGCTTTGCACAGCTGTTGACCAATGGTCGTGAAACTATCTCGCCCTAGGCTCTCTTGCCAGCCTCTGCTCCCTCCACTGGCTTCTCCATCACCAGCAGGGTCAGCTGCGAGTTCGCCTGCTGCCCGTGCCACCACTGCACCTCAGCTTGCGGTCGTCCACCATGTCACTATTCGCTCCTGTCGTCCTGCACTACAGCTCACGATGTAACTCTCCTGCACAGCAGCAGAGCCACTCAAAATCTTCCTTCCTCCTCCCCTCTGCACCAAGGAACAGGACCAGAGTCACTGCCGGGCGTTGTTTATCTGCTGCAGCCCATGACTCCGTCTTAAACGCGGACATCATCCAGGCTGCATATTCACAGCAGCAGCAGCAGCGTTCAATATACACCGACTTTGAAGAGACTCTTAAAGGTCCCAGCTTCTTTTCAAAGGCCCCATCTCTTGTCTGGCTTTCAAGTAATACTCAGCCTTGCTCCACGCCTCAGACTCACGCATTACAAATCCCATCGCTGTTATTATTTTTTATTCTGGTTCATCCACATTCGCCCTCTAGCAACCCCCTACCGTGAGGCTGCGGGCCCGACGCCAGCCCCCTCTTTGCACCACCACACGGACATTCACAGACACTGCCCACTGCAGGCCTCTGAGAGGCCTCTTTCCCACTGACCTGTCTGGCCAGGGTAGTCCTTCCAAGCGCTTCAACACTCACGTCACTCTCTTGCTCTCTCTGGATCACCGAGGCACTCCAAATCAGGTTTGCCAGATGATTACCGGGACAACTGGTAACCGTTTTCAGAATCAGTTACCGGTTCCCAGTGCCAAGAACTGGTCACTGGTTCTCGTGGAATGTCAGTAACGAATTCACCGATGGGCACTCGAGGACGTAACAAACGGCACGGTGGCCCAAGTCACCGCCACGTGGTTCACGTGCCCTCTTCTCTCAGTTACAAGGCAAAGGCGCAGCTCGGCGCTCCACTAGAGGGAGACCTAGAGGGTACTTGGCCTCCTCTTCCACGACGCCCAGACGTCTTGGAAGAGCGGTTAGCGTGCTGCGCTATGAACCTGGCGACCCGGGTTCGATTCCCGCTCACGGCCAACATCAGTGACGATTATCTGAACCGGTCCCGGGCCTCCCCTGGGTCGACTCAGCCTCAAATGAATACCTGGTGCGGTGTGTAAACATCGTCACTAGGGAGACAAAGGCGGTCGGGCGTGGTGCTGGCCACCCACCCCCTCGTGTACCGTTCCGGCCTTCATAGGTGCTCGCTTACAGTACTTGCCCCTACAGTCTGTTAAGGCTATATGGGGGATCTTTGATTCCTATCACCGCAACAGAATCACAGTGCAGGCTGGACAGCCACGGCCTTCAAACAACACACACGAAAACCCGCGCACAAAGCACCCGACATTTGTGCATTATGGAACAACCATCAGCAGTTCCTGAAGAACTGCAATGTGGCCACACTTATGTATAGTTTACATCGGCAAACTTTGCAGCAGTGAACATTATGGTTGTTCCATCATATTTACCGGGTACTAGTGTATTTTGACGAGTTAATTGCATTCCTACGCGTTTGGCATTGCTGCTGAATTGTGGTTGTTGGCTTTATTGGTACTGTTGCTGGTTTGTTTGTAGCTCCCACCCCCCGCGCATCCCCAGCGCTCTCAGCCTCCCACTTCCAGCACCGCCCACTTCCCCCCCACGTCCGAACTTCATGTCTCCCTCTCCTAGCGTCCATGCAACGCTCCCCTCCCCCTACCCCCCTCCCTTGTCCCTCCCTCCTCTCTTACCTATACTACCTCTTACCACGGTAGCTCTCTCCCACTTCAGCAAAAAAAATATTGCTGTGGCTTTCCCACCTGATGATGATTGCTTGTGTTGCGATCAAAACCTCGTGATTTAATTTATTTTATTTTATACCTACGTGACTTTACCGAAAGAACCAAAGAGTATGGATCCTTGCAGTCACGAAAACTTCAAATCTAGATTGGTGACTCCTCTGATGATGAGTGTTAATGCGGGCAAAACCGGTCCACAGTTGTTAATCACATCATCACTGCTTCTGCTGGTCAGTTGGTGGTCACATTTACTCAAATATATTTTGCTGGTGACTAAAGAGGGCACCATAGTGCCGTTTCTCAGGAAGTTCTGATGGCTTTTGCATTATGCACAAAGGCTTGAGTGCTTTTTTAAAGTTTTGTTGTGTTGTCTGAAATGTGTCTATATGTTCTCCCCCTGTTCTGCATGGGTTTCCTCCCAGAGCTAAACCCACACACCCAATGTTGGCCAAAACATCACAATCTGAAAATTAATGACCTGCAAATTACTCATTTGGAATCAAAGCAGCAGCAACAACTCTGCAGCACTCTCCTGAAAACGAGTCTGGAAATTCAGTGATGATTTCCTGGGTAAACGAGCTTCACAACAACACCAACAACATTAATGAGCAGAACATTGGAAGGTATGGATCAATATTGTCTGCCAAACCGACATAGGCCAGGTATGCACCGTGAGACTGACGGTGGTTGTTCAACAGAGCGTGGCCCATGGAACAAACGCCGTTGGGGTGGCCCAAAGTTCCCAGCAACTCTCCTCAGTTCACCGCGGGGGGCCCGCTCAGCTCGGCTCGGTGGCGCGGCTCTCCTCCGGGCGTCGTCGCCACTCGGTGAGCTTGGCTACACAGAGCTCTCATCCACGGTGGCGGCGCTCCCCACAAGCTGCACCGTGTGCTCCGCGGGCCCGGCCCCCGGTGGGCCGGGGCCCCCCACGGGGAGGGCCCCGGCAGGCGCCGCCCGCCCCTTCCCGCGGCCCCAGCGCGTCTTGGTGAAGATGCTGAGCCCGCGGGCGAACACTCCCCCTCCGGTGGCGTACGTGGAGGAGTCGCTGTCCGTGATGCCGTGGCTGCTGTCTCCTCTCTCGCTTCTCCCCGTCGCCGCTGCTGCCGCCGCTCCTGTCCTCGCCGTTCTGCCGCCAGCCACGTTTTCCTCGGCGTCTTTGCAGAAGCGGCAGCATAGGCACTGCCAGAACGCGTGGCGGAACTGGGGGGAGCTTAGGCAGTAAAGCGCCGGGTTGACGGTGGAGCTGAGGAAGAAGAAGCAGTCGGTGATGCGGTGCGTGATCTGGAAGGCGCGGTAGTAGGCCACGGTCCACTCGCCGTGCGAGCGCACCACGCTCATGATGCGCGTCGCCTGGAAGGGCAGCCAGCATACGGCCAGCGCCAGCACCACTAGCTCTGCGAGCGCACACACACGTGCACACACGCGCAGACACGCAGACACGCACACACACACGCACACACACGCGCACACACGCACACACGCACACACGCACACACACGCACACACATGCACACAGATGAAGCACGTCACTCGTCGGCATGTCACCCGTCATTGGCAGGGTTCCAAAAGTCCAACCCCCCCGTTACTTGTCTTGGAACCTGGACAGGTTGAAGTACGGTGGGGTCTTTGACTCTACGGTGGCCGTAAAGGCCTGGCAGGAACCCTGATTAACACCCAGCTGATGGGGAACTGACACAGGTCCCACAACGGCAAGTGGGTACTTGTACCCTCAACGGGTGTGAAGGCAGATTTTGGCTACAGCAGAGCACGGTTCCCAATCATCTCGGTTTAGCTAGCCATTGGGCTACGGCCCTGCTCTGTCAAGATCTGCGGTTGCTGGCGTGCAACGGAAACTCCACATTAAGATAAATCATGTACAGGCCCCTTCCATTGGCCGATCTTCACCCAAGAACACAATAAGCCTTTTGGCGATCAACTAATAGCGACAGGAGCAAGGTTGTGATGTCTGGAGGCTCTCAGCCATGACATTGGCAATTATAAGATGGTCGTCTGACACTTGAATGAGGCAGGAGTGAAATCTGGCAGCTGTAACTGCGACTGAGCAGCCCTCTGTAGGGTCCATTCGGCTCACCCAATTCGGGGATGGGACCAGAAAAAGCCATCCTCAAACAAAGTCCACCTCATAACCCTCCCGACTGGTTTACGGCAGCCAGTCGGATCACCCCTTTTTGCGGTGAAAAAATAAAAAATGAAATTAAGTTTGGGACCTGGAATGTCAGGATCCTCGTGAGCAACCCCAACAGCGACAAACCCAAGCATTGCACTGCAATAATCCCCCGATAACTCAAGACACTTCAGCGTTGACATTGCTGCCCTGAGTGAGACCACGCAGGGCAGGAGGAGGCCAGCCTCAAGGAGCTAGGCGGTGGGTACACCTTCTTCTGGAAGGAGAAATCGGAAGAACGGCGTCTCCATGGAATTGGTCTTTTCTGTAAAAAAAACCTGATTAGTCGCCTTAGTGATACCCATTTTGGAATACACAAACGCCTAATGATCATCCGGCTCACCCTAACGTGGAAACGGCATGCCACTGTGATCAGTGCCTATGCCCCGACTCTTGATACTACAGATGAAGCCAAAGAGGAATTATACTCCAGTCTCAAACAAATCCTGACTCAAGTTCCAATGGAAGGCAAACTGTTCCTTCCTGGAGACTTTAATGCCCGAGTTGAAAGGAACATCAATCTCTGGAAAGATACAATCAGCAGGGAAGGAGCTGGTGAAACTAACTCCAATGGAATCCTCCTCTTGACAAAATTCCTAGAACATGGGCTTGTCATTCCCAACACTCTGTTTGATCAGAAAGACAAGTACAACACCTCTTGGCAACACGCTCAATCCAAGCACTGGCACCTGATAGACTACATCATCATCCGAGCCAGAGACCGTAAGGAAGTCCTCAGCACTTGAGCCATGACAGGGACTGACGATTAATGAACTGACCACCGGCTCATCCACTCTGTCATTTCCATAAACATAGCCCCAAAGTGACGGATGTAAAATAAATGTTGCCACTGCCAACTTGACTTCACTTCACCAACAACCACAGAGTGTACACAATGTCTGGTCTGCCATGAAGTCTACCATTATAATCAGTGCTTTTGAACAGGCTCTTGGTTTTTCTACCAGAGTGCACAGAGATTGGTTTGATGAGAATGATAAGGAGATCCAGGAGTTGATAGACCACAAACGCAAAGCTTTTATGGCCTAGAAGCAAAATCTTGACTCAAGGAAAAAAATGAAACAATCTTATAGACATCTGAAGCCCGAAGTCCAATGAAAACCCCGTGACTTGAAGAACAGATGGTGGGTTGAGAGAGCACAGGAGATTCAGCATCTGGCAGATAACCAAGACAAGCGTGGATTTTTCAGTGCCATCAAAACCATCTATGGACCAAAAGGACCAAAACCTCTGAGAGCCAAGGAGAGAGGTGACCTCATTAAAGATAGAGAGGCCGTGAATGCCCACTGGAGAACACTCTGCAAAGACATTCTCATCCAATAGACTGACTTCGATGAGAACGTACTTGACTCCATCCCGCAGCAGACCCATCGGACATAATCGTGGCTATATCCTTGCCCAACAAGAGCTTCAAAAAGGTCATGCAACAACTTAAGAACAACTAGGCCCCTGGGGCAAATTAAATTCCTGGCTGAAATACTCAAATATGGCAGAGAATAACTTTTGTCACGAATTAATGGCTTATCAACCTCGTTTGGGAAGAAGAGAGCCTGCCACGAGATCTCAGAGACGCCATGATAGTGACAATATTTAAGAAAGGTAACAAGTCTGATTGTATTGTTAGCTCTTTCGGTAAAGTCACGTTGAAGGGAAACAATAAAATAATAAAATATATAACACAAACGACCGTTTGTGTTATGGTCGAAACGTCGTGAGAATTTTTATTGTTTTATATATTTTATTATTTTATTGTTTCCCTTCAACGTGATTTTACCGAAAGAGCTAAGAATATGAATTACTGCAGTCACGAAAGCTTTAAATCAAAATTGAAGTCTGATTGTGATAATTATAGAGGAATATCGCTATCTGCCACAGGAAAAGCAATCACAAGAACCCTCCTCAACTGCCTCCTCCCAGTAGCAAAAGTGCTCCTTCCAGAGTCATATTGTGGATTCAGACCTTCAGGAGGCACAGGTGACATGATCTTCACTGCACGACAAATAAAGGAAAAAGGCGGGGAATAATGCCAACCTCTGCTTATGGCATTCTTTGACCTCAACAAAGCCTTCGAGTCAGTCAAATCGAGAGGGGCTGTGGAACATTCTCCTTAAATTCGGCTGCCCACAAAAACGTGTAGACATCCATCGTCTACTCCACGATAACATTCGAGCTGTGGTCCTCTCCAACGGATCTACCCCAGACCCTTTCCCAGTTTGGACCGAGCTCAAGAAAGGCTGCATCACTGCACCGACACTTTTTTCATTTTTTATCACCGCGATGCTCCACCTCACTCCCAACAAGCTCCCTGCAGGTGTGGAGCTCATCTACAAAACAGACGGGAAACGGTGCAATCTACGGCCAACTCCAATATAGAACAAATACGATGTAAATCTCGGTCATTGAATTGCAGTATGCATATGACGCATGTGGCTGCGCACACTCAGGGTTTCAAACCATTGTAGATGTTTTAAGCAACCTGTTTCTTCTGAACATCACCACCCCCTATCAATCAAGATCCATAATGAGGTCCTTGAAAATGTGGATCACTTTCCATAACTTGGAAGCCACCTGTCTGCGAGGGCAGACATTAATGATGAAATATACCATAATCTCCAATGTGCTAGCACAGCCTTTGGCTGCCTGAGGAAGCGAGTTTCCCCAAGACCAAGACCTCAAAACTTATACCAAGGTCATGTTATACAGGGCAACAGTGATCTGAATTATGCTTCGGAGGCATGGATAACCTACAGCAAGCACCTCAAAGCACTGGAGAGGTACCACCATCGATGCTTCTAAAAAAATACTCCAAAATCGATGGCAGGACAAGACAGGGGAACCAATGTCAGCATCTTCCCCCAGGCCAACTTCCCTCGCATTGAGGCACTGATCACTCACAACCACCTCCGCTGGGTGGATCATGTCTTCCGCATGCCAAAGCAAGTCCTTTACTCTGAACTCCACCATGGTAAGAGATCCCCAGGAGGACAAAAGAAAATGTTCAAGGACATTCTTGAAGCATCACTTAAGAAATGTGACATTAACATCAACTCCATGGGAGTCCCTAACTCAAGCTCGCACAAACTGGAGAAGCATTCGGGTTGGCATCGTGCATCTTGAGTCTCACCCGCAAGTAAATAAGGAATTCAAATGGATGCAGTGAAAGGAGTGTGCTGTAGCTCAATGCACCCATCCCATCCTGAACCTCCTGCCCCACCTGTGGCAGAGTTTGTGGATCTCACATTGGGGTTTACAGTCATATAAGAACACACAGAATCACTGTGAAAGGAAGTCATCCTTGATCCGAGGGACTGCCAAATAATAAAAAAATATCAGCACGTTACTCATCAGCACGTCATTCATCGCAATGTCACTCATTGGCACGTCACTCATCAGAACGTCACTCATCGGAACGTTACTAATTGGAATGTTACTAATCGGAAAGTCATTCAATGGCACGTCACTTATCGACACGTCACTCATCGGAACGTCACTCATTGGAATGTTACTCATCGAAACGTCATTCAATGGCAGGTCACTCATCGACACGTCACTCATTGGAACGTCACTCATCGGCGCGTCACTCATCGGCAAGTCCATCATCGGCACGTCACTCATCAGAACGTCACTTATCGGAACGTCACTTATCGGAACATCACTCATCAGGACGTCACTCATTGGAACGTCACTCATTGGAACGTCACTCATCAGCACATCACTCATTGAAACGTCATTCATCGGCATGTCACTCATCGGCAAGTCCATCATCGGCACGTCACTCATCAGCACGTCACTCATCAGAACGTTACTCATTGAAACATTCATCGGCAGGTCACTGATAGGCAAGTCCATCATTGGCATGTCACTCATCAGAACGTCACTCAATGGCACGTCACTCATTAGAACGTCACTCATTAGAGCGTCACTCATTGGAACGTCACTCATCGGTATATCACTCATCATTGTCACTCGTCACATTACTTATCATTACGTCACTCATCATCATGTCACTCGTCACATTACTTATCATTACGTCACTATCCTCATGTCACTCGTCACATTACTTGTCATTACGTCACTATCATCATGTCACTCGTCACATTACTTATCATTACGTCACTCATCATCATGTCACTCGTCACATTACTTGTCATTACGTCACTCATCATCATGTCACTCGTCACATTACTTTTCATTACGTCACTATCATTATGTCACTCGTCACATTATTTGTCATTACGTCACTCATCCTCATGTCACTCGTCACATTACTTATCATTACGTCACTCATCATGTCACTCGTCACATTACTTATCATTACGTCACTATGTCACTCGTCACATTACTTATCATTACATCACTATCATGTCACTCGTCACATTACTTATCATTACGTCACTATCATGTCACTCGTCACATTACTTATCATTACGTCACTATTATGTCACTCGTCACATTACTTATTACGTCACTATCATGTCACTCGTCACATTACTTGTCATTACGTCACTATCATGTCACTCGTCACATTACTTATCATTACGTCACTATGTCACTTGTCACATTACTTGTCATTACGTCACTCATCATCATGTCACTTGTCACATTACTTGTCATTACGTCACTCATCATCATGTCACTCGTCACATTACTTGTCATTACGTCACTCATCATGTCACTCGTCACATTACTAGTCATTACGTCACTCATCATCATGTCACTCGTCACATTACTTATCATTACGTCACTATCATCATGTCACGCGTCACATTACTTATCATTACGTCACTATCATCATGTCACGCGTCACATTACTTATCATTACGTCACTATCATCATTACGTCACTATCATCATTACTTGGGTGTTTACGTGGCCCAGTAGTATCGCGTTCGCTGCTCGTTGCAGAGATTTGCGGATCGAAACCGGCAGGCTGCCCTGGTTATTATTGCTACGGGCGTATTAACCTAAAGTACACGACATGCCAACTGCCTCGCACTGGACGTTAAACAGCTCCGTGACGTCACACCGACGTCACAGTCCAAATTAGTGAAGTAAAAAATGGCAAAATACTCGACGGGTATTAAACACAGCAACAACCATCGCCGGCTGATGTTGCAGGCTCCTGGTGGTGGTAGTGGTGGTGTTGTGTGTGGTGATCACTCTTCCCGTGTGTGACCTCTTCGCCCCCTCGTCGTCTCTTATTGCCGGGGTCACTGCCTTGCCATTCACCCAGCGAGGGAGCGCGCGGCCGTGTCTGGCGGGGCGGCACGCCCTGAACACACACGCCGCTGCGTGCTAGGCAGAGACGAATAAACACGAGGCCTGCTGAGTCATCCCGGCCCATGTCGCCAGATCCCAAAAGCGTGCGGATATCCCGTGTCCCCCGTGTATCCCCACCTGCCGGTATTACGGTTCGCGCCCGGAGAAGCCCCCCCCCACCCCCCCACATTCGAGGGGAGAACGCGTATGTACACTCGGTGAACAGCTACCTTTGCTGTCCCCTACAGAGGGTAGCCACCTGTCCCGCTTTGACCGGGACAACCCTGGATTCGACACACGTGCAAGCAACGTGTGCGGAGAAGCCGGCGCCTATACCGCTGACCCACCCACTCACCCACTTACCTGCTCACCCACTCATTCACCCACTCATTCATTCGCCAAACGACTAAGTAACTCGCCCAAAACAAAGGCAAAGCCCCCCCTGGGTAGCCTCCAAAGTCCGTTGGGGCAAGTATTGTTAACGAGCACCTATGGAAGCCGGAACGGCACTCGAGCGGGTGGGTGGCCAGAACCACGCCCATTCGCCTTTGTCTCCGCAATCGAGAGATGTCTGCACATCAGAACCGGTTCAAATATCCGCCACTGTTACTGGTCGTGAGTGGGAATTTAACTCGCGTCACCGGGTTTGTAACGCAGCGCGCTAACCACTACGCTGCCGCTCCCCACGACGACTCACCGACTACCCACTCACGCACGTGACTCGTCAGCACGTGACTCGGGTTGCCACCTGTCCCGGTTTGGCCAGGACAGTTCAGGAGAATATCGCATCACCACTGCTGGTGGGCAGCCAAAATGTATTTGTCCTGAGACCCGGTCCCGGAGCGACCGCTCTTCCTGTGTGGAACGAGTCCCGGGTTGGTTCACAAGGTAGCGTCCCTTCTACAGACACCACCCCAACGGCTCAGATCAACTCAGCTACTTGCTGTCTGCCTCCCAACAGGCTTCCAAAAACCGTCTTGCTGTACTGCCTCCTACAAACGGCGCAGGCAGAGGTGGATCCAGAACCACGTGCCCTCATCCGCCACTGCCTGCACGCGGCGTGCGCGTAACGCTCCCATCCCGTCGCGATCCACCGACCCCTGGCATGAGCCATGGATCTCTGCCCGCTCACCCAGCATGAGGACGCTCTGTCGCTTGGCTGCGTCCAGCTTGCTCCTCGGCGCCTTCTTGGTGCCCGTGATCACCCTCCGGTGCTTTCTCTCCTCCTTCCGAGTCTCCTTCTCATCCTCCTCCTGCTGTCGCCCCAGCTGCTGGCGCTGCTGCTGCTGCTCATCCTCCTTCTTGCTGCTGCTGCTCCTGTCGCCCCCACCGCCCCCCTTCTCCCACTTGGCCGACACCTCCCCGGCGCCGAGCCCCTCGATGCGCACGACCATCTCGCGGCACATGTAGGCGACGGCGGCCAGCACGACGAGGAACGCGGCGAGGCACGTGTACACGGTGGCGCGCAACATCGTCTCGCGCGCGCGCAAGCTCGTGCACACTAACGCCGTGCCGTTGTGCCGCGCCAGGACGGCGGAGCAGTCGGAGGCTCGGGCGCGGCTCCGCGCGGTCTCCCGCAGCGCCTCGTAGGCGTCCTCCAGCCCCATGGCGAAGAGCATCGGCAGCGCCGAGACGACGGCGAGCAGCCAGACGGCGAGCAGCATCGCCTTGGTGCGCGACCGCGTCATGGCGCGCGCGCGGAACGGGTGGCACACGGCCAGGTAGCGCTCGGCGCTGAACGCGGCGATGTTGAACAGCGTGGCGTAGGTGCAGGCGTCCCACAGGAAGAAGTGCAGCTTGCAGGCGGCCTCGCCCGCGCCCGCGGGGCGCCACACCACCGTGGCGAGCTCCACGGGCACCCCCACCGCGAGCACGAGGAGGTCCGACACGGCCAGGCTCAGCATGTGGTAGCTCACGCGGCTCTGCAGCCCCGCGCGCCGCCGACGCCGCACGGTCACGAGCACCGTCACGGCGTTGCCCACCACGCCCGTGACGAGCAGCGTGGAGTAGAGCAGCGTGAGGAGCACGCGCGCCCACGTGGGCACCTCGTGGAACCTATGCAGGTCCACGCAGCCCTCATCCTCCTCCGCCTCCTCCATCAAGGCGCCGGCCATCGCCGGCGCGCGTGGAAGCCCGGGGGGACCCGGATCTCGCGCGGCACGGAGGAGTCACCGCGTCGGCGAGACTCGCGGCGGCGTCTCGCAAGTGGCAGCCCCGGGAGTTCGTCCGGCCACGTCGCGGACCCCTCGCCTTATTCCGGTCTTTAAAAAACACAGTTACATTAAATATGCTCAGTGGAATAGGGTGGTCTACATTAATTAATCGCGTTATCATCTAGTGGTAGTGCCTCGTGCTATTAATCCCGACTCCAAGCCGGTCTGATAGCGGCTTTGCGGAAAATAAAGTGAGGAATGAATTCCACACCAGCAACATCATCACCACGACCACCCCATTACCATCATCACCACTACCATCATCACTATCATCACAACAACCACCCCATTACCATCATCATCATCACCACTACCATCATCACTATCATCACAACAACCACCCCACTACCATCATCATCATCACCACTACCATCATCACTATCATCACAACAACCACCCCACTACCATCATCATCATCATCACCACTACCATAATCACTATCATCACAACAACCACCCCACTACCATCATCATCACCACTACCATCATCACTATTATCACAACTACCCCACTACCATCATCATCACTACCATCATCACCACCACACCACTATCATCATCATCATCACCACAACCATCATCATTATCACCACTACCATCATCACTATCATCACAACAACTACCCCACTACCATCATCATCATCACTACCATCATCACCACCACACCACTATCATCATCATCACCACTACCATCATCATTATCACCACTACCATCATCACTATCATCACAACAACCACCCCACTACCAGCATCATCATCACCACTACCATCATCACTATCATCACAACCACCCCACTACCAGCATCATCATCATCACTATCATCACCACCACCACCACCACACCACTATCATGATCATCATCACCACTACCATCATCACTATCATCACAACAACCACCCCACTACCAGCATCATCATCACTATCATCATCACCACTATCATCATCATCGTCACCATCATCACCAGCACACCACTACCATCATCATCACCACTACCATCATCACTATCATCATCACCAGCCCACCACAACCTTCATCATCACCACCATCATCATGAGCACCTCTATCATCACCACCATCATCACTACAATCACCACCACTATTATCATGAGAACCACCATCATTGCCACCCCCATCATCATCACCACACCAACACATCACCACCACACCACGACCATCATTAGAACCACCATCATCACCACCACCATCTTCATGAACATCACTATCATCAGCACCACCATCATCACCATCATCACCACCACCATCTTCATGAACATCACTATCATCAGCACCACCATCATAACCATCATCACCACCATTACCACGACACCAAACTACCACCACATCACCACCACACCACCACCACCATCACCACCACCACACCACTACCATCATCACCACCACCACACCACCATCATCACCACCATCATCATCACCACCACCACACCACCACCATCATCACCACCACACCACTGTGATCATCATCATCACCACTACCATCATCATCATCATCACCACCACCACACCACTACCATCATCACCACCACCACCATCACCACCACACCACTGTGATCATCATCATCATCACCACTACCATCATCACCATCATCATCATCACCACCACCACCACCACACCACTACCATCATCACCACCACACCACTGTGATCATCATCATCACCACTACCATCATCACCATCATCATCATCACCACCACCACCATACCACTACCATCATCACCACCACCACCACCATCACCACCACACCACTGTGATCATCATCATCATCACCACTACCATCATCACCATCATCATCACCACCACCACACCACTACCATCATCACCACCACCACCATCACCACCACACCACTGTGATCATCATCATCATCATCACCACCAAACCACTACCATCATCATCACCACTAACCATAATCACCACCATCATCACCACCACAGCACCACCAAACCACTATCATCACCATCATCATTATCACCACCACACCACTACCATCATCACCACCACCACCATCATCATCACCACCACACCACTATCATCATCACCACCACACCACTACCATCATCACCACCACCACTATCATCACCACCACACCACTATCATCATCACCACCGCACCACTACCATCACCACCACACCACTATCATCATCACCACCACACCACTATCATCATCACCACCACACCACTACCATCATCACCACCACCACTATCATCATCACCACCACACCACTATCATCATCACCACAACACCACTACCATCACCACCACACCACTATCATCATCACCACCACACCACTATCATCACCACCACACCACTACCATCATCACCACCACCACCATCATCATCACCACCACACCACTATCATCATCACCACTACACCACTACCATCATCACCACCACCACTATCATCATCACCACCACACCACTACCATAATCATCACCACTAACCATAATCACCACCATCACCACCACCAAACCACTACTATCATCATAATCACCACTATCGAAATCACCACTATCATCATCGCCACTATTATCATCATCACCACCACCATCATCATGACCATCACTACCACACCACCATCATCATGAGCACCTCCATCATCGCCACCCCCATGATCATCACCACCACCAAATCACTATCATCATCACCACCACCATCACCACACCACTATCATCACCACACCAACACATCACTACCACCACCACGACCATCATTAGAACCACCATCATCATGAGCACCACCATCACAACCATCATCACCACCATCACCACACCACCAAACCACCACCACCACATCACCACACCACCAACATGATCACCACCACATCACCACCACTATTATCTCACGACTACGCCACCATGATCACCACCCCACCACCACCACCAGCGGAGCACAGGTGGTGCATCACGCAGTCATCTCAGTCAACGCATAGCACTCGGGTCTGTCCCGTGACCTCCTGCACCTAGCCTGGCACATCAGTCCACCCATAGTACCTGGGTCTGTGCCGTAACCTCCTGCGAGCAGGGAAAGCGTTTGACATTTCACCTGACGGCCTCCAGTTGCACCTAGCCTGGCACAAGCGCCGTGTTGACGTCACTGATATTTTCGTGGCGAATTGCGGCTTTTGCGGTCGTGTACAGGTGCGTGCCATAAGCAGGTGCGTGTGTACAGGTGTTAGCGTGTCCAGGCGCGTTTCGGTGTGCAGGTCTGTTCTGTACACAGTATGTGCGTGGGTGTTCAACGCGCATGTGTGGGGAGCGGTCGTGTCGTGGTTGGTGCGCTGTGCTACGAACGCGAGTTCGTTTCTCGCTTATCGTTCACCAACCCCAAGTGTGACGACTATCCGAACCATGCCTGGGTCTCCCCTAGGTCTGCTCAGCCTCAAGGACCTGGTGCGACGTGTAGAGATCACCAATTGGGAGACAAGGGCGGACGGGCGTGGTTCCGGCCACCCCACCCCCTTGAGTGCCGTCCCGGCCTTCGTTGCTACGACTCGCGAACAGCAGCACCTGCCCCAACAGACGCGTGTACAGGTGTACAGGTGTGCACTCTCACCTGGGGGAAGTCGCCCGCGCCGTTCGTGCCGCGTCAACTTCACCTGAGAGCCGCGACCCCCGCTCCCTACAGGGGTCCCTCTGGGGGTCCCGTGGAGTCTTGTGAAGAAGAGCGCAGAGCCCTACCCTCTCCCACCCGTCCTGGGTCACTGGGTCCCCGTGGAGGAGTGGAGGAGTCACAATTCCTCGGCTCCCTCACCCCCCCTATACACACCCCTTCCTGAGCCTTTCCTCGTCTCTCCGTCTCTCCCCTCTCCCCCACACACCTGTTGCCTCTCTCTTCCTCCGTCTCCCACCTCTGCTTTATTTTCTACACCTTTCCGCCCCCCCCCCCCCACTGCTGTTCTGCATTGCTCTCCCTTTACAACTCCTCCCCTCGCTCTCCATTGACCCCACCTCTATCCATCTCCGCTCCCCCCCCCCCCCACATTCTAGGCCACCTTCTCCCCTCCCCTATCTACCACCGGCTCTCTCCCGCCCCCTTCCCCTCACCTCCTGCCTCGCTCCCTCCCACTCTCCTTGCCTCCTCCCTGGCCTCTCTCCCGCCCCTCCCCCTCTGCACCGTTCCCGGCACGTGAGGTCACCAGTCACACTGTGCCCTCTAGAGGCCGTGGCCACGTTCTGTATCCCCCCCACGTGAGAAAGCGGACTGTGGATGATGACATTACAAAACTACTGCCAAGTTCCATTCAATTGTCCCTTCTCCACACAATGGAGCCCGCCGAATGCTGATCCTCGGAGCTGGCATTTCGCCAAATAACGCGAAGACCAAACTGAAGTCCACGATTTTGCTAGCTGGTTTAGAATTCCTAGCGATGCCAGGTCCGTGTGTCAGACACGCCATTATGAACCTTAGATGTGTTTATGTAATAGATAGGGAGAGCATGCCCATGAATAGGGGCAGGTGGGCGACAGCACGAGAGTCTGCTGCCCCAGACCATTGGGACCGCAGGGGATTGAGGAGGGCGGAATAATATTTTACTTTCAGGCGATGATGCGAGTGATGGGGATATCGGTGGTGAATCTACCGCAGGCTGCTGTGCCTGGGAAACACAGCAGCGCCTTCCCTCGCGATGATAGCATTGTGTCACACAGAGACAGCTACCACTGAGGATGCCCCTAGGCTATACCACACAGCAAGATTAATCGCCTATGACTGTGAATCTACTAGAGGTTGCTGTGTCTGGAGAACACAGCTACACGTCGTATCGGCGATAACGCCAATACGACATGTACTCAGGATTGTGTGAGTGGGTGAGCCAGTGGGTGAGTGAATTAATCTAGAGTTGCGAGGGTGAGTGTATTGGTAATTTAGTGGGTGAGTGAATGAATGATTAATGAGGATACAGTGAGGGAAAACAGTTTTTGATCCCCTGCTGATTTTGCACGTTTGCCCACAGACAAAGAAATGATCAGTCTATAATTTTAGTGGTAGGTTTATTTGAACAGTGAGGGACAGAATAACAAAAAAATCCAGAAAAACGCATGTCAAAAATGTTATGAATTGATTTGCATTTTAATGAGGGAAATAAGTATTTGACCCCTCTGCAAAACCTGACTTAGTACTTGGTGGCAAAACCTTTGTTGGCAATCACAGAGGTCAGACGTTTCTTGAAGTTGGCCACCAGGTTTGCACACATCTCAGGAGGGATTTTGTCCCACTCCCCTTTGAAGATCTTCTCCAGGTCATTAAGGTTTCGAGGCTGACGTTTGGCAACTCGAACCTTCAGCTCCCTCCACAGATTTTCTATGGGATTAAGGTCTGGAGACTGGCTAGGCCACTCCAGGATCTTAATGTGCTTCTTCTTGAGTCACTCCTTTGTTGCCTTGGCCGTGTGTTTTGGGTCATTGTCATGCTGGAATACCCATCCACAAACCATTTTCAATTCCCTGGCTGAGGGAAGGAGGTTCTCACCCAATATTTGACGGTACATGGCCCTGTCCATCGTCCCTTTGTGGTGAAGTTGTCCTGTCCCCTTAGCAGAAAGACACCCCCAAAGCATGTTTCCACCTCCATGTTTGACGGTGGGGATGTTGTTCTTGGGGTCATAGGCAGCATTCCTCCTCCTCCAAACACGGCGAGTTGAGTTGATGCCAAAAAGCTCTATTTTGGTCTCATCTGACCACAACACTTTCACCCAGTTGTCCTCTGAATTATTCAGATGTTCATTGGCAAACTTCAGACGGGCATGTATATGTGCTTTCTTGAGCAGGGGGACCTTGCGGGCGCTGCAGGATTTCAGTCCTTCACGGCGTAGTGTGTTACCAATTGTTTTCTTGGTGACTATGGTCTCAGCTGCCTTGAGATCATTGACAAGATCCTCCCGTGTAGTGTTGGGCTGATTCCTCACCGTTCTCATGATCATTGCAACTCCACGAGGTGAGATCTCGCATGGAGCCCAAGGCCGAGGGAGATTGACAGTTCTTTTGTGTTTCTTCCATTTGCGAATAATCGCACCAACTGCTGTCACCTTCTCACCAAGCTGCTTGGCAATGGTCTTGTAGCCCATTCCAGCCTTATGTAGGTCTACAATCTTGTCTCTGACATGCTTGGAGAGCTCTTTGGTCTTGGCCATGGTGGAGAGTTTGGAATCTGATTGAGTGATTGCTTCTGTGGACAGGTGTCTTTTATACAGGTAACAAGCTGATATTAGGAGCACTCCCTTTAAGAGTGTGCTCCTAATCTCAGCTCGTTACCTGTATAAAGACACTTGGGAGCCATAAATCTTTCTGATTGAGAGGGGGTCAAATACTTATTTCCCTCATTAAAATGAAAATAAATTTATAACATTTTTGACATGCGTTTTTCTGGATTTTCTTGTTGTTATTCTGTCTCTCACTGTTCAAATAAACCTACCATTAAAATTATAGACGGAACATTTCTTTGTCAGTGGGCAAACGTACAAAATCAGCAGGGGATCAAATACTTTTTTTCCCTCACTGTAATGGATGGGTATGTGAGTTGTTGAGCGAATGATCAGGTTGTGGGTTGGTGAGTGTTTGAGCGACACTATACTCGTCTGTGAAACACTGCAGCGCCTTCCTTCGTGATGATGGGAACGATAGTACCCATACCAAACGTTCTCAACTTTTCCCATGAATTACCGATTGGGCAGTGGATGGGTTCAGGATTTTCACTACCACTTGCGACATCAGACCAGAGCAGACGTGTGATTTGGACTTCGCCAGAGCTGACTGATATCGGATGTGACAAGAGCCTTCACATGAATTACACGTGGCCTATTCATTTGAATTTTTCGTCGGCAGAGCCGATGGGAATATTTGATTATTTACGGGGCTACCCTGGCGCGATTCCACTCCGTGCTAAGCTGCAGCAGCAGGAGCTTGCGGGCAACAGAACCGAGACACGAGACGCGAACGCGTCAACTACAAACACATCCACACTTTAATAACGGCGACAACGACGACAAACAACAGCCATGACACCCGTGCTTATATAGTCGTGGCGACACGATCAGACACGCACACACTGCGACCACACAGACACGCGCACACACACCGCATGTGAACGGGGTTCCCTCTGTACCAGCACCACCGGGGCTCCTCGCGCGCATTCGGGGGAAATGTCGCACAGCGGCTACCGGACGGGGTGGGGGTCACGGCACGGGTTGCTACCTGTTCCACTGCGGACCAACACCCGATTCGGTCAGCACTAGGAATAAACAGAGCTGAGCAGTCTACGGTTCAAGATGTCGATTACAAAGCAATTCTCGCTGCCACTCGAATACAGATAACGCCCAGTCCTGGCTCGTCCGGGTCAAACCCGCGCAGGTGGTAACCCGAAGTCACGGTCCCTATTGGAACCGAGGGCGAGTTGCTCAAGGACGAATAATGAAGCAGGAGACACTGTCATACACACTCACTCAAGGACTCACGCCGCCGCTCGGTCACAGTGCGTACCGGGGAAGATTTCATCCGTGGGAGCGGGCGGCGCTGGAGCCGAGCCACGCCACGCCGCTCGGAAGACTCTGTGGTGGGGGGCTCGCCGCTGCCCACGCGGCCCCGCTGTGGGAGGGAGCGCGCCCGTCGGGCCACTCCGCCGTTGCATTTGCGTGGAGGCGAAAATGAGCGAAGCCTCTGCGTTTATTGCGTTTTGCCTGCCCGACGTTCGCATTCATCCCCTGGGACAATAGAATCAATCTACCTATCTCACGAAGCCACGTTCATTCACTTTCATGGAGCGCTAGCAACGAAACATGCAGTCGCCTTCACAGAGACCCGTCTGTCAACGCAGCATTCATTCATTATTACTGAGCCATGGCCAACGGTGGACATATAAATACAGAGGTCCCAGCATGACACCTGTTCGCCCTGCACAGCCACGCTCACTGCCGTCTCCCTCTGCGGAGACATTGCGGCATGGGAGCAGGAACCGCGAACAGTCCCGATGGTTGCACGCGTTTGGTGTCGAGCAGCCCTGTCTGGCGTGGCCCGCTGCCACATTTTCCCCCAACGCTGACCATGTCTATGAAGGTGACATTCACGCTCCAATAGAGCTCCGTCGTGCAGGTCCAGAGACATCGCCCTCCGTAAGTGGCATCTGTTTTTATGAAGAGCTAATCGATTAATTTGTCACGTGGCATTCACTCTCGTAGCGACGTCTCTCTATTGAAGCGACTTTCGTTGAGTGTAATCGGGCTGTATTATACATCCACCGACTCTATCTCTCATCGAGCCACAATGAAGCAACGATTCCAAGCCCTGGCGGGCTCAACCACTCCGGGTACCCAAGCTCGTTCCTCACCAAGATGCACAAGACCAGTGGCACGCGGCGAGCGTCTGAAAGTTGTGGGCCTCCCCTAGGTCAACTCGGCTTGAAATGAGTACCAGTTGTGGTGTACGAATCTCGCTGAATTGGGAAGACAAAAAAGGGCGGCTAAGGTGTGGCGCTGGCCACGGCTTTCCCTCGTGTGCCGTGCCGGACTTCACAGACGCTCGCTAACGACACTTGCCCCAGCAGTCTGTCAGGCCAAATTGAGGATGGTGTCTGCCCATGCGTGAGTGTGAGCAGGGAGTCGAACCCATTGATTTTCGGGTACGGTTCTCATCAACCCAACCCGTTGAACCGGTTACAGTTCAATTGGGTCAAAACGGTCTCAGAAGGTTCGGTTTCTGGTTAACCAATTGCTAAAAACCGGTTAATGTGAATTCAAATTGCATCGCTCCCACGGTTAAAACGGATAACCGAAATATTCATATTGTTCATTTTGAAGAAACATGATTTTATTTCGGTTTGGTTTTCAGTCCTAGGACACAAACGGTTAATACCGTTTGCACTCTCTGTGTGTGAGACTGTAGATGCGTGCGCACGCTCGTGTGGACAAATAACGGCCGCGTCCTCACGCTCCTGGGTGTGGTTGGGGAGGATTGCCGCTGTTCACTCACGACCACCGCGAGTGGATGTTAACCACGGCACCTCGCATTTAACGATCAAAGTTAGCACAGAATGAAAGTCAAAGTAAGAATGTGGGTCATGATAATTGAAAGGCCATGGGTCAGGGCAGCTCAATAATAACGAAAGGGCGCTGCTAGATTAATGTGCAGTCCGTGAGCTTGTAATCAGCAACACGCTGTGCTCGCATCGGCTCATCAACACAACATCTCGGGTGCATACCAGGTCCAAGCAAGAACATCTGTTGCACTGTATAGTAGTAGAACAACAAATGTAAACCCATGTTTTTATTGTTTATTTGTACATGTTTGTGTACGTGCTGCTGAGTGTTGATGTGTTGTGTGCTGGTGTCTACGAGCACGTCTGTGTGCTCGAATGGGTGAACGTTTAAGTTCATGAGAAAATCATCAGCAAGTTCACTGCGCAACATCCCAGGGACAAGCCTCGGGTAAAGTACCACTCTCCTTTGTGCTGATTCTACCACCCTCAGTCTCTCCACCCTCAGCCTCCCGGGAGCAAACCGAGGCCAGTTTCTCACTGCTCTTGCCGCTCTCTTTTGTGCTGATTCTACCACCCTCAACCTCTCCACCCTCAGACTCCCAGGGGCAAACCGAGGCCAGTTTCTCACTGATCTCGCCGCACTCTTTTGTGCTGATTCTACCACCCTCAATCTCTACACCCTCAGGCTCCCAGGAGCAAACCGAGGCCAGTTTCTCACCGCTCTTGCCGCTCTCCTTGGTCCTGATTCTACCACCCTCAATCGCTATACCCTCAGCCTCCCAGGGGCAAACCGAGACCAGTTTCTCACTGATCTCGCCGCTCTCCTTTGTGCTGATTCTACCACCCTCAATCTCTCCACCCTCAGACTCCCAGGGGCAATCCGAGGCCAGTTTCTCAATGCTCTTGCCGCTCTCTTTTGTGCTGATTCTACCACCCTCAACCTCTACACCCTCAGACTCCCAGGGGCAAACCGAGGCCAGTTTCTCACTGCTCTCGCCGCTCTGCTTTGTGCTGATTCTACCACCCTCAATCTCTCCACCCTCAGCCTCCCAGGGGCAAACCGAGGCCAGTTTCTCACTGCTCTTGCCGCTCTCCTTCGTGCTGATTCTACCACCCTCAATCTCTCCACTCTCAGCCTCCCAGGGGCAAACCGAGGCCAGTTTCTCACTGCTCTCGACGCTCTCCTTGGTGCTGATTCTACCACCCTCAATCTCTCCACTCTCAGCCTCCCAGGGGCAAACCGAGACCAGTTTCTCACTGCTCTCGACGCTCTCCTTGGTGCTGATTCTACCACCCTCAATCTCACCACCCTCAGACTCCCAGGGGCAAACCGAGGCCAGTTTCCCACTGCTCTCGCCGCTCTGCTTTGTGCTGATTCTACCATCCTCAATCTCTCCACTCTCAGACTCCCAGGGGCAAACCGAGGCCAGTTTCTCACTGCTCTTGCTGCTTTGCTTTGTGCTTATTCTACCATCCTCAATCTCTCCACCCTCAGACTCCCAGGGGCAAACCGAGACCAGTTTCTCACTGCTCTCGACGCTCTCCTTGGTGCTGATTCTACCACCCTCAATCTCTCCACCCTCAGCCTCCCAGGGGCAAACCGAGGCCAGTTTCTCACTGCTCTTGCTGCTCTCTTTGGTGCTGATTCTACCACCCTCAATCTCTCCACTCTCAGCCTCCCAGGGGCAAACCGAGACCAGTTTCTCACTGATCTCGCCGCTCTCCTTGGTACTGATTCTACCACCCTCAATGTCTCCACCCTCAGCCTCCCAGGGGCAAACCGAGACCAGTTTCTCACTGATCTCGCCGCTCTCCTTGGTACTGATTCTACCACCCTCAATGTCTCCACCCTCAGCCTCCCAGGGGCAAACCGAGACCAGTTTCTCACTGATCTCGCCGCTCTCCTTTGTGCTGATTCTACCACCCTCAATCTCTCCACTCTCAGCCTCCCAGGGGCAAACCGAGGCCAGTTTCTCACTGCTCTCGACACTCTCCTTGGTGCTGATTCTACCATCCTCAATCTCTCCACTCTCAGCCTCCCAGGGGCAAACCGAGGCCAGTTTCTCACTGCTCTTGGTGCTCTCTTTTGTGCTGATTCTACCATCCTCAATCTCTCCACCCTCAGACTCCCAGGGGCAAACCGAGGCCAGTTTATCACTGCTCTTGCCGCTCTCTTTTGTGCTGATTCTACCACCCTCAATCTCTACACCCTCAGGCTCCCAGGAGCAAACCGAGGCCAGTTTCTCACCGCTCTTGCCGCTCTCCTTGGTACTGATTCTACCACCCTCAATCTCTCCACCCTCAGACTCCCAGGGGCAAACCGAGGCCAGTTTCTCACTGCTCTTGCCGCTCTCTTTCGTGCTGATTCTACCACCCTCAATCTCTCCACCGTCAGACTCCCAGGGGCAATCCGAGGCCAGTTTCTCACTGATCTCGCCGCTCTCTTTTGTGCTGATTCTACCACCCTCAATCTCTCCACCCTCAGCCTCCCAGGGGCAAACCGAGGCCAGTTTCTCACTGATCTCGCCGCTCTCCTTGGTGCTGATTCTACCACCCTCAACCTCTCCACCCTCAGCCTCCCAGGGGCAAACCGAGGCCAGTTTCTCATTGCTCTTGCCGCTCTCTTTTGTGCTGATTCTACCATCCTCAATCTCTCCACTCTCAGACTCCCAGGGGCAAACCGAGGCCAGTTTCTCATTGCTCTTGCCGCTCTCTTTTGTGCTGATTCTACCATCCTCAATCTCTCCACCCTCAGACTCCCAGGGGCAAACCGAGGCCAGTTTATCACTGCTCTTGCCGCTCTCTTTTGTGCTGATTCTACCACCCTCAATCTCTACACCCTCAGGCTCCCAGGAGCAAACCGAGGCCAGTTTCTCACCGCTCTTGCCGCTCTCCTTGGTCCTGATTCTACCACCCTCTATCTCTCCACCCTCAGCCTCCCAGGGGCAAACCGAGGCCAATTTCTCACTGCTCTCGACGCTCTGCTTTGTGCTGATTCTACCACCCTCAATCTCTCCACTCTCAGCCTCCCAGGGGCAAACCGAGGCCAGTTTCTCACTGCTCTCGACGCTCTCCTTGGTGCTGATTCTACCACCCTCAATCTCTCCACCCTCAGACTCCCAGGGGCAAACCGAGGCCAGTTTCCCACTGCTCTCGCCGCTCTGCTTTGTGCTGATTCTACCACCCTCAGTCTCTCCACTCTCAGACTCCCAGGGGCAAACCGAGGCCAGTTTCTCACTGCTCTTGCTGCTTTGCTTTGTGCTTATTCTACCATCCTCAAAATCTCCACCCTGAGACTCCCAGGGGCAAACCGAGGCCAGTTTATCAATGCTCTTGCCGCTCTCCTTGGTGCTGATTCTACCACCCTCAATCTCTCCACCCTCAGCCTCCCAAAGGCAAACTGAGGCCAGTTTCTCGCTCTTTCCACTACCCTTCATGTTAGCTGTCCTGCAATCCTGATTTGTGGTAGCCTCCCAGGGGCAAACATTGGGCGGATTGCTGCTCACGATGCTACCCTGCTTAGTTGCTACTTTATTGCTGGCGGACTTCCCACTTACACTTTCCCAGGGACAAACGTTGAACAGGTTTTCTAGGTCCTCGGTGTCAATTTTCCCGCTCAAAGTGTCTCCACCGGCCGTCTCCCAGGGGCAAACATAGGCTATGTGACTGCTCAAAGAGCCCCTCTCTTTGGTGACTTTTTGACGGCTGGAAGACTCCTTGGCTACGGTTTCCCACGGGAAAACTTCGGCTACGTGGCTCGCTGGCTGCAGGCCACTCCCAGGCATATCTACACTCTTTTTGTTGCTGTCCTTGGGGCTGACTGTGCCCCCGCCCTGGACGCTGGTGGCCTCCCAAGGGCACAACTCGGCTGCCTTTCGACTGGCCTTATCATCGCCTCCGCTTCTGGTTGCACCCTCGGCCTCCCCGTGGCCTCTCACAGCGGCGCTCCCCATGGCCACTGCCGTGCACGCTCCCTCATCTTTCCACTTGGCAGACCCAATTCTGCCCCCCGCTCCCAGCTCTGCTCCATCTTCGGCTGTCGAGTCCTCATCCATTGGTGGCAGAACCGGCGCCACCGGTGGTTGTGAAAGTTTGACAATCTCCGCGTGTAGAGAAGAACTGCGAACGGGGATGGTAGGCGGCCGGGACAGTGGCTTTTTACGCGCCACAATGAGGCAGGGGTGGTTTGGCAAGGCCTGAATGGGTTCCCCGGTGGCGACATCGTGCCCAAGCTCCCCCTCGTCGATCGCAGGGGGTCCGATCTCAGTGCTGTCCGTCTGGAAGAAGCTGTACTGCTTGACGAGCCGAGCTGGCCAACCCTGCCTGCAGAAACATGCACGTGCCTGAATAGTGTGAATGGCCTACAAGTGACGATATCAAATTTACCCCTTCTATTTAAGGCCGAAACAGGAGCATTTCTCCACAACTCTGGCTGTCGCCTAATGAGGCTGGTTGTAATTACCAGCGAAACGTCATACTCGAATTCTAAATGTTGTAGATTTACTCTCCAACACACCGGTGTGCTGAACTAGTAATGATTTGGCATGTTTCATTTACGTGCCGAACCATACTAATTGTCGGGTGGTGGTGGGTTTAATGACACATTTATATTTACACGATCTAACCAAAAACAACTCTATTATATATTTATTTCACGTGTTCGTTAAAGTTCTTAAAGCACTCCGTGATAACTCATCATGAAGAGTGAGTGCGCGTGAACCGTGCGTTAGGCTTCAGTAGCACAAGGAGCTACCGCAGGACTGCTTGGCCGAAATGTGCTTCATTAGCTACCAACTTATCCAGCCCATCGTGTTTAATTAAAACACAAGGCGAGGCCCAATTTGCTCCTTTACACATTTTGGGACATTGACCGAATACGGCCCAGGACGAGGCAATTGCCCGGGTGGAATGGGGCTTAAAAGAAGGTGGCAGTGCGACACCATGGACCAAATAGCAGTAGGTGCGTTATGCACAAAGCCAGGCCGACAATCTATCTTTCGTGGTGGGATGGCCTCGTCAGCTGTTACCATAAAGAACAAATAACTGGTGAGATAGTTGTAAAAACATAGTCTGCTCTGTATAGACCTTAAAAGTCGGAGCAATGTCTAATAGATGGAGATCCTGTTGTCCATGGACCAACGGGTCCAAACATAGGACAGGAAGTGTGATAATACAATCTGCGGTTATAACCTTCGGTTTAAAGAAGGCATGGTGGCAAAGGACCACTTTATAGGTTGAAAACCTGGAAGGGTTCATGACACCATAAAGCGTACAGCTCATAAATATGCACTGCAGATGTGAGAGCTACAAGCAGAAAAAATTGCAATGTAAGGAAGGCAACAGCGATGGTATTGAACAGTTCAAAGAGGGAATCACGCAAGGCATGAAGCACCAATGAGATATCCCAAGGACAGCACCACCGATGCGCCGGTAGATGTTGATAAAAAAGAGGCCTCAACTCAACCTCCGAATCGATGACTGGGCAGTCAGAGTTGTGGTGTCAAAACCACAAAGGAAGGCGGTGATGGTGGCGAGACGGACTCTTGTCAAGAATGCAGTACATCCCGCCTGGAAATCCACAGCGGGTGGTTTAGCACAGCAGCCGGCGGTACCTGTCATGGTGGAATCTGGCAACGCTGGCAATACCTCACAAAAGCCCTCCATTGACATGCTACGTGGAGGAACGACTAGCTATGAAGAGCACAGCTTACGCTGGGAGCATGAGACCCACTAACTCTCCAGACTGTGGGCTTGATAAGACCCAGCTTGGATGGCAGCAAGACGACTGTCTAGCAAGTCGCTGTGCTGTGGAAATGGCAGCGGAACTTGGAGCACAGCCAGAGACGGTGACACAAGACTTTCTGCGGAATGTTCTGCAGAACAAGCCTCATTGCTCACAGCTCTCTACGAGCGCTGGAATTTTCTGCCTCAGACGTTGACCAAATGGTTGTACCATATGGCTGCCACAGATGCCACCACATCCATGAGTGGAGGCGTCGGAGTAAACAAAAATCTCCGGCTCGACTTAGCCCAGGGGACACCCCCATCATAAAATGTACTGTCGCTTCCCACCAGAGTAGCTGGAGCTTGGTGTCGAGAGTGAGAGAGGGTTGATGACCCACCCGTAGTCAACCAACACTGCTCACGTCCGATGAGTGGCCACATAGCAGCCATCGGACGTCTCTGCCACCAGCAGCAGATCGACCAGGTAGGCAAAAGAGCAACCGTGTTCACGAACATCTTGGTGAAGACCTGAGGCAAGGACATCGGTCAAAATAAAATAACTTTGAACCGGAAGTGATTATCCTCAAAAGCGAAGAATAGGAAGCACCAATGTCAACTAGACTTGAACATGTCGGCAGGCGTCTTTCAGGTCAATCGAAGACGACCAATCTCATGGTTGGATCGCCGTCACCACCGACTGAACAAATTCCATCTTAAAATGTTCTGTGACGATCTACTTGTTCAACGCCTTCAAATTGAGAATGGGCCGGAAACCCACCATCTATCTCGGGTACCGCGAACAGACTGCTGTAGAATCTGCGTTGTCGCTGAAGCGGGCGGTGCCGTGATGATGGAATGGATGTCGAGGAGGCGTCGAAGCTTGTCGACAACAAGAGTTGTCGAGCCGCTGACTATAGGAACAGTGGCGACTCGACGTTATTTGCCGGTGGGCGAATAACTTGAAGGGAACTTTGCATTGGCCCCTGATGAGGCACCATATTTAGCAAAAGGAGGTCAGCCAGGTGCCCACAGGCCGACCCGGTGTGGGAGGCTCAGGCTCAGCATCACGTCGACTACCCTGCAGAATTGGGTGGAAATGCAGCTGTGAGGGGAGGAGCCGTTGCGCCTGTCCCAGCAGGCCGGGGTCGTTGTCCATCACCCTTGTTGTACTGTACCTTGGACCACCCCTGATGGGAAGGACCCGCTTGCAGATTAAATTTTCCACAACCACTTCAGGCAGCTGTTTGATGGACTTGCACGAGGCGCAGCCGGCGCCATGCCGCCAGGTGTGAATTTTCCAGGTCTTGATCAATGGACTTGATCACGTAGCGTGCTTCTGAACCGAAGAGTTCCATTCTTCCATGGATTGAATGGCAATTGTCGTATGTGTGGTTAAGGGAACCCGTCGCTTATTGCCGTTGCCACAGGAGTCGACGACCCCACAGCGCTCACCCTAATTCCTCGCACAGACTGCCGTTGAATGCAGACTAAACCGGGCATGGTCGAAGCAGCTGAACCAGCTGGAGTCCCCTGCATGGAGCTATGCCCGATGGAGGCGTGCTGCTGAGGTAAAGACCAAGGCAGTCAACGCCCCAAAGTCCATCCCATGGAAATGTCAGGAAAAGAAACAAGATCGAAACAGTGGACGTCCATCCACTGCCTTTACATGCAATCCACAAGAAAGCACAGTAATCAGGAAAAGCCCCCAGCTGTGGCATTGACTGCAGTGGAGTGATCTTTTGACAAAATCATTAATTACAAATATTATGGTGGCAAAGCCACCAACAGTGACAAAATCACAAATTATTGCCAAACAAGCGGATTCTCACTGAATTTAAAGCTGTGTACTGAAGATCCTGGCAAACCGCAGGTGAAATTATTTTTATCGGAAGAATGTGATGTCGTGGATGATTGACGCCCATCTCATCATTAAAATTCATCATTTATATTTTGGGGGAGGACTGTGAAATTCCATCGAGAGTAGAGATAGTTTTGCTTTTAACCATAACTCCAAAAAAATGTAACCCAACCCATCCAAGCCCAAATCCTAACCTTGCCGACATTAGTAATAACCATCTAAGCCCGAACCACGATCTTGATCAGTCACGATCAATCATTAGTAACAAAGCATGGGGCCACGCATCGTCATTACAGAACCTGACCCACGACTCACCTGTGAACTCCAGGTCTGCCTGGCCCCGCGACCTCCAGGAGCCTGTTTCCATGATCCCCTTGTGGCCCCTGGGGCCCAGTCTCCCCGTGCTTGGACAATGCCTGTAGTGGAGAGGCCACTTCCTGCCCCTCGCCACCGAGCGCCGGAGGCTGGTGATCTTCGACAATGAGGCTGCCCGCAATGGCTCCCTCTTTCGATGCTCGACTGTCCTCTTTGACATCCCCTGCAGCAGCTGAGCTGCCCTCAATCGCCTCCTCTGTGGACACCGGGTTGCTCTCAATCGTCTCTCCTTTCATCTCCAGACTGCCCTCTGTGGCCTCCTCTTTCACCTCCAAGCTGCCCGTCCCACCACCCTCCCCTGGCTGTCCTGCCACTCGCAAGCTGCCACCCAGCACCTCGCCGCCCTGGGTGGCCGTGGCTTGCGCTGGCGTCGGCCTGCTCTGACGCTGCCCTCTCCGTGAGGAAAGCTCCTCGTGGAGGCGGCGCAGCTCCTGCTTGGCGCGCTCCATGTCGTGCCGCGCTCGGCTGCGGCCCACGGCCGCTATTCCGGCTTGCGAGCCCGGGCTCTTCTTCCGAGAGTGCCCCTCCTCCCGACCCCGTGCCCTCTCGGTCTTGCCCTTGGCGTCCGCCCTTGCCTCAGACTTTCCGGCAGCCTTCCCCTCCGTCCGCTCCATTGGGTTCCTTGATCGCCTCTCTGCCCTCTTCTGCTTCGCCTCGCCCTCTGGGGGGTCCCGCAGGGGCCTGCCGGACCCAGTGGGATGCTCCCGGCCTCGTGAGCGACCTTGAGGGCTGTGGCACGTCTCTGTTGCAGCGGCCCCAACACCGTCGGGAATGATCCCAGGAGACTCTTTGCTGGGTCCTGCTGGGGTGATGTCAGCCTGGTATTTAGCCTCCTCTGGCACGGGGTCAGAAATCTCAGCCCGTTCATCTTCAAAAGCTGCCTGATCCTCCCTAACACCGGCCTGATCCTGAGTAATATCCTGATTAATTCCAGCCTGATTCTCCTGAACAGCAGCATGATATTCGCTCTCCCCCACCTGCTCTTTTTGAATGCGAGTCTCATCCTCCTCTTCTTTTCCCAGCTCCTCTATAGTGCCTGGCCTTACCTCTTCAGCACGCGCCACATTCTTGCCAACATTTGCCTTCTCCTCTTTAATATAACTCACATCGTCTTTAACATCATCCAGGCTCCTGCTCATCTTTTCACTGCTGGAGTCCACTTCAATTCCCCCGACCCTCACCTCATCGAGGCTCTTCTTCTGCTTCGTATCTTTCTCAGTGTCTTCCTCCCTTGCAGGGCCAGTCTCCTCATCCACAATTGTTCTTACCTCATCCCCCATCTCCTTGTCACAGCTCACCATGACTCGAAAGTCGTATGCCTCCTCCTCTCTACCCATTCCCACTTCATCTTTACCTCCCGCCTCAGCTGCTCCAGACTGCAGTCCCCCCACTCCACCATCCATCTCCTCTTTCAGCTCCGCATCTTTCATTTCAACATCATTCACCTCCCCCTTCAGTTCCAACATCTGCAGCTCCACCTCTTCCACATTTTTCTTCAGCTTCAGATCTCTCTCCCTTTCCTTCAGCTCCACCTCTTTCAGCTCCATCTCCCTGCTCAATTCCAGCTCCTTCATCTCAATTGTCCTCCTGATCTTCTCCTCCATCTCCTTTCTCGGCTGCAGCTCAACCTCTTTCTTCAAATGCATCTCCCTCTCGGTCACCCTCTCTTTCAGCTCCACTTTCCTAGTCAGCTCCTCCTGCCACTTCTTCCTCTTCAGCTCCATCTCGATCTCCACCTTTTTGTTCACCTCTATCTCCCACTCCCCAATCATCGCCACGTCGTCCTTCATTTCCCTCTCCTGCATCTCTATTCCCATCGACCGGTCTGCCCCACCGGGTCCCCATTTTCCTCCAGATCTCCCAGCGCCCGGCGCCACCTCCGTCTCCGTCCCCCCTCCCGGGGACCCCGGGCGCCCTCCCGCTGCCGCCGCCACCGCCGCCGCCTCTTGCGCCCGTCCCATCGTCCCCGTGGCCACCCTGGCCAGCGCCCCTGCCTGGCGGGGGCCCACCAGGCTCAGCGACTTGAGGAGAGGCAGTGGGGGGGTGCGTGAGGTCAAGGGGGGCCTGGCGGGGGCCACGGGCCCCGCGGAGCCACGGAGCGCGTGCGCACTAGCTGAGCGGCACAGCACGGGGGGGGAGTCCGGTGGCTCGGCCTCCCCGCTGCTGCTGCTGCCCGGCTGTTGCTGCTGCTGCTGCTGTTTTTGAGGCAACGCCTCGGGGCCCGGGGGCAGCGCCTCGGGGCCCGGGAGCCCCCCCTCGAGGCCTGGGGGCAGCGCCTCGGGGCCCGGGAGCCCCCCCTCGAGGCCCCGCTCCCCGCCCAGTGAGCTCACGCTGTTCTCGGAGTTCTCCAGCAGCTGGTCGTAGGCACTCGTGGAGCGCGCCAGGGACAGCACCTCAGAATTAAAATCAGAAAATGTATTTATACTGGAGGAGGAATACGATGGGCTATAAAGAGGGTCAGAACGTTACAACAACAAACAATTTAAAAAACACAATTGGCGTGCAAAATATAGGAAATGTAAACAAATCACTTAAAAAAATTATACAAAATAAAACTTTTCTTATTTTAATCCTACCAGGTAAAGTCCTCTGAGCTATTAGCTTCTTTTTCAGAAGCAACCTGGCCACAAATGATAGCTCAACGAAGTGGCTTATCATGTGGACATGATTAGCACCAAATAATCTAAATAATCTATGGTGTGAGAGAAGCTCAACATATGTACATATGCACGTTTCTAAATGTGGAGAACATGCAAACTCCAAACATACAGGCATCAGGGTCGAGATCAAACCCCCCTGACCTCCCGCATACCGGGCGAGGAAGCTAACATTACAACATCTTTTCGCCCATTAAGTAAATAAATAAAGCATATGAGTACCTTCTGGCGGAACGTGGCCTCCCGCACGCGGCTCCACGCCGCTCCCACCTCGGGCCCCCCCCCTGCCTGCCCCCCCCCACCCGGCCCCCCGGGCCCCTCTCGGGGGCCCTCGGGGCCGCAGTCGGCGAAGCGGCGCATGAAGGAGCGCGCGAGCCCCCGGCGCGAGGGCGGGCGCCGCCTCGGGAGGTGCGGGTTGCCCAGGCTCATTCGCTCGCAGCGGTAGAGCTCCAGCTGCGTGTACAGGCGCTTGAGCTCACTCTGCGGGGAGAGTAGGAGAGCAGGGAGAGCGGGGAGAGTGGGGGAGAAGAGAGACAGGTTGAGTGAAAGAAGAGAGGGAAGAGAGGGGAGAGATGGAGAGGGGAGAGGGGAGAGAGATGTAAAAGTGGCGCAAGGCATAGGGTGAGATGTATATAACTTTAAACTCCGTGGCAATGGCCAGAGATGATCTCAGTAAAAGCTCACTGCTGAGATTCATTCCTTCTTCGACAACACGAACAACTCACAGCCTCAACATTGACTCATGGCCTCAGCCTCCTCAGCCACCCCTCGCACCCTCCGCTCCGCCCCGCCCGGCCTGAGGGCACCCCTCACCGTGAGCTCCTCGGCGTCCAGGTGGTCCCACCAGCCGAGCGAGGCAACGCTGCCGTTGAGGCAGGACGAGGTGGAGCGCCCCAGGCCGTCCAGCTGGTCCTCGTACACCTCCCCGTCGCCCGCCTCGCCGCGCCGCGGTCCCTCGGCCCTGCACAGCTGCACGGGGCCCGCGAGACACGTTGCGGATCAACTCGCAACCACCACCGCCGCTGCACCGCTGCCGCGCGCACGAGTTGCAATGCTGGAATATGATTCTGCATGTTTAGCCAGTACTTGCCCCGAAAGTCTGTTAATGCTACACGGGGCATTTTTGTCTGAGTGTGTGTGAGCACCTTGGGCAACAGCAGCAGGGCCAGCGTGACGGTGACTGTGAGCTGCGAGTGGATGAAGAACATGATGAACGTCCAGTCGGGGTGCAGCGAGGCCGACAGCCAGAACCTGGTCACACTCACACACAACGCACCAACACAGAGACCTTGACAGATGTTTGAGGTGAGCGCTGTTTGCGAGGAGCACCTACGAAGGCCATCACCATGCCCTGCCACCTTGTCTCCCTAGTGGCAATGTTGGCACACCACACCCAGTACGCATTTGAGGCTAAGCACACACTCAGAGACGCACAAGCGTCTCTTGTGAGGACGATATTGACTCCACGGCACAGCGGGCAAGGGCCTGAAGCCGGATCACCCCTTCATTGGTCCTGAAGTCGCCATCCCCGGTGTGCTACATCTCAATCCCTCTGGCACCTCTCCCGCCTTTTGCTCGACGTTTCTCATTTGAGAGTGAACCCGGTCTCGGCGTCTCTATCCGCGTTTCCTCTCCTACTATCCCACGCTGGTTTGAACGTTTCCCTGTCGGGGTTTTCCGAAAATCTCTGCTCATTAAATATCTCTCAACTGCTGTGGTGATATTCTTCGGTTATGACTTGGCCTGAAATAATTTTATTAGATTTTTCATTGTTTAGTTGCTGCTGGAGGCGATGGCAGGAAAGCGGGGAGCGGGGCGAGAGACAGCGACCCTCCACCGATTTATGGATCCGCTGCGTTGATCCCCACGGGGACAGTGCGAGCGGCCAAACTCAGCGGCGATGCTAGTGCCAGTGGCGTCAAGAACAAATGGAGACTCATGCTACAAGCTTCGCTCATGTGCAGCACTGCCACCGTCTCATCGCTCTGCGGACACGAGGTGAGCAGGCGAGAGGCGAAAAGACTGGCGGAGGAGCAGCTGCAATGATCACCACCATCGGGTGCAATGAGGTGTGAGGCTGGGTGATATTGCTTTTGTCATCGACGGTGATCTGTGTGTGTATCCGTGTGTGTGTCGGCTTTCATAGATGCTAAGAGGACTTTACCCATACGGGGAAACTTTGTCTCCATGTTAAAAGACCTTCATGTTAATGACATAATAATTAAGGACCTTGGTGATGGTGGGCAGGCTGCGTGGCTCGAAGTCGCAGCCATTCTCTGTTCCCTTCGGGCTGGGAAAAGGATGTCCTCTGGCCCCTACATTACTTAACATATTTTTTTTACCAGATAGTTCGAAAAGTTTTCCATGGCTGTACCAAAGGGATTTCCATCTGGTACAAATACAATGGGAGGCTGATAGATGCTCAGGTGTGGTCAAAGGTTGGCTCCTTATTGGTCAACCATATTATGTATGCTGATAATCAGGTAATTGCTGCTTACTCTGAGAAGGAGTTGGAGGCTGGGAATTTACCGTCAGCCCCAACAAAACTAAGCACCTACCTGATTATTTTGTGTCATCAAAGGCCCCTTCCCTCAACTACCCGTGAATGACGGGGAAATTGTGGAGAGAGTCGAGAAATGTTCGTACTTATTGCAGTGTGCTTAGGACCAGCTCCGGTTTGGCAGCCAAATCAATGGAGCAGCATTATCTTTTCATCAGATACGTAATGCTGTGTGGAAGCTACCAGGCCTGTTGCTCCATACAAAGCTCCAGGTTTTGTTGGCCATAGTTATGCCCTCCCTTCTCTATGCTTGTGAAACGTGGAGCCCTCTAAACATTCAGGCTGGCATGCCTATGATATCCATCCTGGGTTTAACCAGACTGGATTATGTCAGGAGCTCCCAGATCCTTGAAAGTTGTGGACACAGTCCCGTCAATGAGCTCCTCTGGCAGGCGAAGCTGCGTTGGGTGAGTCATGTATTCCGCATACTCAGCCACCGCATGGCCGCATAGAGGAGGCTAAACGGGTGTGGCACGTGCAAGAAAAAAGATGGACTGATGTCGTACAAGAAGGATTTGGAGCTGATTGAACTTGCCAATGACTGGTACCAGGAGTGTCAAGACCGGCCGCTGTCCAGGAGGTTTGTGAAGGACGCTGCTGGGGAATTGTAGGCAGTCACCCTCCAGCAACAATGGAGGAGCGACGCTCACAACAATTACGAAAGTGCCGGGCGGCTAAAACGTAGAAAGTTGGCACAGTGGAGAGCACATTTGGTGCATTTTACAGTCATCTTAGTCAACCTATGGCACCTCGGTCTGTTCCATGACCTCCTGCCAGCGGGCCATCGACACTTCACGTTGCCTCAAAGTAATGCACCTAGCATGGCACAAGTGCTGTGGTGACGTCACCATCACTTAGTGGCGAACGGCGGTTGTTGATGCTGTCGTGTGTGAGGTCGACTCAGCCTCAAAAGAGCACCTGGTGTGATGTGTAAACATCGCCACTAGGCAGACAAAGGAGGCCGGGCGTGTTGCTGGCCACCCACATCTTCATGTGCCGGGCTTCATACAGTACAGTAGGTGCTACTTGATAACAGCACTTGCGCAAAGTGCAGTGAAGGTTATACCGGGGATCCTTGTCTTGTGAGTGAGTGTGAGTGAATGTGAGTGAGTGTGAATGTGAGTGAGTGAGAGTGAATGTGTGGATGTAGTGCGGCGAGGAGAGGGGTGGGCATGTGCACCGCGTCACGTGGAAGGCGAGCGACACGAGCGCCTCGTTGCACAGCGCCAGCGCCAGGAAGCTCGGCTCGTGGAATGCGGAGGGGACGCGGCGCGCTGCGCGGCACAGGTGCAGGCTCCACACGGTCAGCAGCAGCTCGGCTAGTGTACACGTGCATACACACGCGCACACACACGCATACACATGCACACACACAACAAGAACAACCGCCATTCGCCACTAAGTGGCGGTGACGTCACCACGAGCACACACGTGCACACACACACACAAATATAAATATTCCCCGTGTAGCCTTGAACAGGCTGTTGCGGGAAGTATTCTTCGCGAGTAGCACCTATGAAGGCCGGCATGGCATAGCACCTATGAGGGAATGGTGTGGCCAGTACCACGGTTTCCGATATTCGTCACCAACGTTGGCTCCGAGTGAGGATCGAACTCGAGCACAAGTGCTCATTCAAAGATCACTGGTGCACGTGTCCAGTGAATGTAGAACGCCCACAGTTGGGCCAACATTCACTGGGTGCATCTGCCAGCGTTCAGCACCACACAGCTATCCACACATTAACTGGGACACCAGTGAACTTTGTGACACCACTGCTGTTATTGATGAACTCGTGCCCATCTGAACAAGCACAAAGAGACTGGGTGAAAGTGGAGAGTAACTCGCTGTCACCAAAGGCGACCGCTGCGAAGCGGACGCGGAAGAGGCTGGAGCGTCTTTGGAAGAAAACTGTTTGCGAGACTGTCTTACTTACAGAGCCGCCTGAAGATCTGCCCACCTACTCATTATTAAGGTTCGCAGATCATTATATGGTCTGTGCGTCAGTACTTGCGACATTCTTTGCCAATAAAACAGTGGCGATCAAGACAGCAGTTTCTAACTTGAAGGCAACGCATTCTCCCGGTCTGCCATCTGAACTTGATCAACCTGGAACCAATGCAAAACTCGAATCAGACGTCGGTGGCAGAGGTGTTGATATTCATCAAACGGCTGCCAAATAAGACATCGCTGCTCGAATACATCCATACGTCAATTCTCAAATCATGCTCGGAAGTGCTCGGGCTGTTGATTGTCCAACTGGCAAATCTTTCGTGAAGCGAGGGCTGTTTCCCAGACCGGTTCAAATGGCGTAGGTAACACCGCTCCTGAAAAAGGTTGGCTTGAGCTAGAGTGACCCCAAAAACTATAGGCCGACCTCAAACCTGAGTACGATTTCAAAGGTCGTAGACCGCCTTTGTCTGAAACAGTTACGTCCCTGTGTCGCTGCAATCGGCAGATCCAACCCGTTGCAGTTGGCATAACAGAAGTTCCACAGCACTGAGACGGCTCTACTAAAGATCACTGATGACCTCTACAAGATCATGGATGACCGGTAGGCTGCAATGTTTGTTGGCCTCGATCTCTCAGGCGCCTTCAACATCATCGACCACGAGACACTCATCAGGCAGCGAAGGTCAAGAGTCGGTGTATCGGGCACAGCACTGGGTGGATTGAGTCATGGTCGATCAGTTCGTTAAGCTGGGTAACGAACAGTCATCGCCTATGCCGTGCCCAGTTGGCGAACCATAGGGGTCCATCCTTGGGCCCTTCCGATTTTCAACGTACGTCCATCCGATCGTTGATGTCATCTCATCGCCTGACATCAAGTTCAATCAATATGCTGTGAGTGGTACATGTGTGGTTTGCACAAAAAGAAATGTGGCTTAATCCAGGGAAATCAGAAGATCTGCTGGTTGGTACTCAGGCTCAGGTGAAAACATTTGTGGGAGAATCAGGTGTGGCAGTCGCAGACTTCAGGATACATTTTTCTACGCGGATCTAAAGAGCCTCGGTACCATACTCGATCAGAACATGTCGTTTGAACACCACGTGCAAAACCTAGCCAGGTACTGAAATTAAAATATCAGGGCTCTACGACACATTCGACCACTATTGAGTTGTGACATAGCCAACATGGTGGCATGTCGCATAGTATCGACAACGTTCGATTATTGCAACTCACTTCTCTACGGGAAGTCTGGCAAAAAACATTACCAAGTTGCAGCGTGTACAATATTTTTTGCCACGTTTAGCGACGGGTACTGCAAGATCCGGCCATGTACATCCAGTGCTCGCTGAGCTGCATTGGTTTCTGGTTGCCTAACGAATGCGTTATGTCACACTAATTACACACGAAGTGCTTGCCACAAATTAACCACAATACCTTGCTGATCTCGTCAAGGAGCATAAACCATCATGCAAACTCTGGCAATCCTCAGTGGCATTTAGCTAACCATCGAGCAAAGACGGTCACTGCATTGCGCACTTTCAGAAGCCCTTCTGCGGCCATTTGGAATGCTCTTCCTTACAACATTTGGAAGCCAATGGAGCTATGCACTATTAAGTCAAAATTGAACATTAATTTCTTTAGAACTGCTTTTTTTGTTTAGTTTGATGTCCTTCCCCCGCACCTCCGATTAGCACGGTTGGCTATGTACGGTGCGAAAGAAGTTCAACGTTCATATGTACGTACATACACAACAACAACTCAACACAGAATAGGCGACGTTTCAGGCAATGGCGCTACTTCATAGCACACGAGGCACCAGAGAGACAGCACGAGCCCCGTCAGGTGCCGTACACGCCGACTGGCACCTCCGATGCGCGCGCGTCCACCCGTTCCTCACCCAGGCCCAGCATGAGGTCCCAGCCATCCAGGAGGCACGTGAGGAAGGGGCCCCCGTTGGCCGTGTGCCCACGGCCGACAAGAGGCAGCTCGCGCGCCAGGTTCTCCCACGCGGCCAGCGTCCACGCGGCCAGGAACCACGCGGGCGGCAGCAGCAGCGCGGCGAGGCGGCGCGCCACGCCGGCCCACGGGCACCCGGGTCGCGGGCGCTCCGACACGCGCTCCACAAACACCTCCAGCAGCCTGGCTCGTGGGGCGGGGCAGGTGGGGCAAATGGGGGGGGGGGGCACGGGTGAGGGGATATGGAGGGCACATTGGGGCGGCACGGGGGGACACAGTGAGACGTGAGGGGCACACAGGGGGGACACGGTGGGCACACGGAGGTCTGAGTGCAGAGATGCGTGTGTCGGGCATGCAGAGCGTGTGATGCACCCATCCATCAGTGGGCTGACAGAGGGTGCACACGTGCATTGCGTCCATCCACGCGGCCGCGTGACGTGTTGCAACTCTCCCCGAGGAGCTTTACAGGCACGGCCGCTGGGTCCTCAATGGCATGAGGGGAGGAAGAGTGGGCCAGGGGGAGTGGGTGGGGTGCCGGACCTCCACATCTTGAGCGCGATGGTGCCGTAGACAATGCAGAAGCCCAGCACTCGCACCCAGCGCAGCAGGATGCAGCGAAACGCGCTCGGCTCGAAGAACACGATGAACACCTGCGTGGGACCACACAGACAAAGGGCCCCCATGTAGCATTTAACAGACTGTTGGGTCGAATTCTGTTAGCGAGCACCTATGAAGGCCGGCACAGCACACGATGGGGTGATGTGGTCAACACCACATCTGAGTTGACTAAGGGGAACGCCCAAAACAGGTTCGGATAATCGTCACCGGTGCAGGTCGTGAGCGAGATTGGAACTTGGGTCGCTGGGTTCATAGTACAACGCGCTAACTGTTGCACTACCGCTCTCCACACACACACACACAAAGGTGGAATGACCACCATGACCACTATACACCGCTAATGGTGCTGATGTCACGGTTCGTGAAGTGACGTGGTCGGCTTGGGCCCTGCTGCCAGGAGTGGAACGAGGCCCCCTGTCCAATTCCGCCCTCCCTCTTCGTAGTTCGGCTCCTAGGCCCCTCTGGTCTTGGCGCAGTTGCACCGCCTGCGCACCACTATACAGCTACCACACCAGCCACGAGTGTATTCTCCGCAAGGCTTGTGTCATGTGTCATTGAAAAATGTTGATACTCCTACTGATACTCCTGCTGGTATGGAGTGACTCATGCTGCCAGCTATGGCAGTAAAGTTTGGTCGTAGATGTTATGTAAATCGTTTATTGTTAAATTTGAATCACAATTTTCTTTGATTCTTTCGGTAAAGTCACGTAGAATAAGAATAAAATAATAAATTGATAAAATAAAATAACAACACAATAATATTCTCACGACGTTTCGGCCACAACACAAGCGGCCTTCATCAGGTGAAGGGACGAGACTGTCTGGTAGGACAGCGCTGGAGTGAAAGAGCCACGTTCAGATCACGACCTTTAAGCTGTGCGAGAGGAAACAAAGCGCCTTGACAAAGGGATTAGCATATAATTTAGCATTGAAATGGCTGAGTGATTAGCTTGTGACTGGTCACAGAAATAGCTATGTTAAAAGTTAAAGCATACACATCCGCAGAGGCACCCCTTGATAAAGGAATTAGCATAGAATTTAGCATTGAAATAGCTGAGTGATTAGCTTGTAACTGGTCACAGAAATAGCTACGTTAAAGTCAGAGCATACACATTCACCGAGGCACTTAGTACAAATCAAACAGGAGAATTTAGCATTGAAATAACTAGGCGAATTTAGCATTGAAATAACTGATTGATTAGCTAGTGACTGGTCACAGAAATGACTATGTTGAAGTCAAGGCCTACACATCTGAGCTATTCACAGTACTATATAGTGAACCAATAAAAAAAAACTAAAATATAAATTACCTTAATGTTATCAATAAACTCTATATTCTCCAATCAGCTAAGCTACCAACAATAAGTCGTTATATATCACAATGCTATATGGCGAAAAAATTGGTGGATTCTTACCCTCAACTTTAGCACCACGGATAGCTACGGGCCCCGTTCAGACGGACGAGTTCATCCATGGTCGGAACAGAGGAGGGGGAGAGAGACAGCTGCGAGGCGCTATTATACTCCATGTTGTAAACCATACCATTGACCGTGGTGTGAGAGGTATTAAGAGTCAATGCTGGCTAAAGAGCTGCGGTCTGAAGGTCATCGTAAAAATACAATTAATTAAGAACAGAAATGGTTTAAAACATCTTTCCAGTGGTTACTAAGCCAGAATCCATCTTCTCGGTTGAAATTGTCTCTGTGCTTGTATATGTGAATGGCCTCATGAACGAATCTCTCATGGTAGCCGGTTGGTTTGCAAAGAACCTCCGTCTTGGAGAAGTCAATGTCATGTGAGCCCACTGAATTATAACAGTGATCTGCCACGGCAGAGGAGTTCGTCCTACCGTGTTTCAAGTCTGCTTTATGTTCGCGGATGCGGTCCGAGATATGTCGTTTGGTTTCTCCAATGTAGCTACTACCACAAAGGCACTTTAGTTTGTAAATGCCCGGGTACTGTATGTCTGGAACAGTATCTTTTACAGATGGAACTAAATCACGGATTTTATGTATGCTTGAGCACGTACACCAGGCTCTCAGGGCTAATGGTTACTCCGACTACACAATCCGCAAAGCCATCACTCCAGTCATGAAGAAGGATCCTCTTGTGGAGCCACTCAAAACCATCACCTTACCCTACATTGCAGGGGTCACTAAAAAGATCTCCAAAATCCTGAATAAACACAAGATCCAGGTCCGATTCAACACAGTACATAAAATCCGTGATTTAGTTCCATCTGTAAAAGATACTGTTCCAGACATACAGTACCTGGGCGTTTACAAACTAAAGTGCCTTTGTGGTAGTAGCTACATTGGAGAAACCAAACGACATATCTCGGACCGCATCCGCGAACATAAAGCAGACTTGAAACACGGTAGGACGAACTCCTCTGCCGTGGCAGATCACTGTTATAATTCAGTGGGCTCACATGACATTGACTTCTCCAAGACGGAGGTTCTTTGCAAACCAACCGGCTACCATGAGAGATTCGTTCATGAGGCCATTCACATATACAAGCACAGAGACAATTTCAACCGAGAAGATGGATTCTGGCTTAGTAACCACTGGAAAGATGTTTTAAACCATTTCTGTTCTTAATTAATTGTATTTTTACGATGACCTTCAGACCGCAGCTCTTTAGCCAGCATTGACTCTTAATACCTCTCACACCACGGTCAATGGTATGGTTTACAACATGGAGTATAATAGTGCCTCGCAGCTGTCTCTCTCCCCCTCCTCTGTTCCGACCATGGATGAACTCGTCCGTCTGAACGGGGCCCGTAGCTATCCGTGGTGCTAAAGTTGAGGGTAAGAATCCACCAATTTTTTCGCCATATAGCATTGTGATATATAACGACTTATTGTTGGTAGCTTAGCTGATTGGAGAATATAGAGTTTATTGATAACATTAAGGTAATTTATATTTTAGTTTTTTTATTGGTTCACTATATAGTACTGTGAATAGCTCAGATGTGTAGGCCTTGACTTCAACATAGTCATTTCTGTGACCAGTCACTAGCTAATCAATCAGTTATTTCAATGCTAAATTCGCCTAGTTATTTCAATGCTAAATTCTCCTGTTTGATTTGTACTAAGTGCCTGGGTGAATGTGTATGCTCTGACTTTAACGTAGCTATTTCTGTGACCAGTTACAAGCTAATCACTCAGCTATTTTAATGCTAAATTCTATGCTAATTCCTTTGTCAAGGGGTGCCTCTGCGGATGTGTATGCTTTAACTTAGCTATTTCAATGCTAAATTCTATGCTAATTCCTTTATCAAGGGGTGCCTCTGCGGATGTGTATGCTTTAACTTTTAACATAGCTATTTCTGTGACCAGTCACAAGCTAATCACTCAGCCATTTCAATGCTAAATTATATGCTAATTCCTTTGTCAAGGCGCTTTGTTTCCTCTCACACAGCTTAAAGGTCGTGATCTGAACGTGGCTCTTTCACTCCAGCGCTGTCCTACCAGACAGTCTCGTCCCTTCATCTGATGAAGGCCGCTTGTGTTGTGGCCGAAACGTCGTGAGAATATTATTGTGTTATGTTATTTTATTTTATCAATTTATTATTTTATTCTCATTCTACGTGACTTTACCGAAATAATCAAAGAAGATGAATCGTTGCAGTCACAAAAGCTTAAAATCGAAATTGAATCACAATTCCTATGATCACTGTTACATTGTTTTTATAGCTTTATTTTGGTGATTTCGAAAACGTTTTGGTTTAGCCATATTTGTTTGTTGTAGTACAGAGTTAGACTGCTAACTTTAATCTAAATTGTCTTATGGTTGTTTTTGTTTGACTTGCATCCCACTGGGATTTTTGCACACAGCATTGATATACGGTGCTTTTTCTGTAAGATTTTGCTGTTTTTTCCTGGATTTTTCTGTTTGCGTGTAGTCACTTTAAGATGTTTTCTTGTTCATGTTTTTGTTTGTTGTGGTTGCACCAGATTCAAGAACCGCATGGCTCACAGTGCTATACTAAATAAATGAAACTGAAATGTCATCTGGATGCCGCCGGAGACACAGAGAGAGAGAGACACTCAGAGGGACTGACCCAGGCACTGTGGGTCGAGATGATTATAAATATATACACAGAAGTCCCTCCGTTAACATTTTTAATCTATTCCATAAAAACAATGACTAACCGAAATAACTTAATCGAATTCACTTATAAGTTGAAACAATAAGCAAAAAAGACTGAATCTGCAAGAGAGCTGTTGTTTCCACTGCCACAACAGAAAACGTAATGTCAATAAAGCCAAGTCGAGGTCTAAACGCTCATAATTGGGCGTCGCTGATTGGCCGAGGGCGTGGCCAAGCCCTACTTATGAGTGCTCGGATTGGTCGAAATTGGCAACCATATGCATAACGTACCGTTCGTCAACATTTTTAAGTTAGTCAAAACCATGGGGTCCTATGGGAGGCGAAACGTTAACCGGAAAACCGTTAACCGATGTCACTGTTAACCGAGGGGCTACTTTATACACTAAATAATTTTGCCTGAAAAATCCTGTGAGATGGAACATCTCATTCGCGAGGGAGTCCAGGGAGAAGTTCCACTCGCGACTGGGAGGTCATGGGTCGCGCAGGGCCGGGAAAACCCCCACTGCTCACCAAATGACCATGACATGCACTTTAAAATGTTCACCTGACCCTGGCTGGGGATGCCAATTAGACGCTCATTAAGGCAATTAGCCAGGACCCCACAAGAATAGCGTCAGTGACGTTAAAGTGATCTCCCGTGTAAAATATCCAGGCAAACGACTCAACGGGATCGTCTGCGTAACAAATCAAATAAATCTAGATTTAAAGCTTTCGTGACTGCAGGAATCCATACTCTTGGGTTCTTTCGGTAAAGTCACGTAGGTAGAAAAAAATGTAAACAAATCACAACGATTCGATCAAATAAACTCCTGAAATCGATTGCGTGCGCCTGCGACCACAACGCGGAGCATGCATGGTCTCTGTCTCATCTCGGCAGCTAAGCAGAGGTTGAGCCTGGATAGCTGCTCAGATGGGCGACCACCACCATGCATAACAGGTGCTATAGGTTGCTACTGCTGCAGGGCTACTTGGTGGACAGCAGAAGGCAGCGCAACTACATATATTGCTGTACCGTACTCCTATGATTCAGGCCTTCACCAAACTTCCACCGTGCCTTCATGGCCACAGTCCAGCCCCTGCAGTTGCGTGTCGAGACACGTGATCTCTGCGTGATTCACCAACCCCACTTCAAGTCACTGGGCTATAGTGTCTTGAGGTTCATAATGCCGTGCTGCGCACACAGTGGCACACGCCAGCAGCGTAGCACTGTGGAGGTAGCGAGGGTTCGTGGACCACACACAGATTGGTGAAACTCCCTCCCGTCCTGTGGGTGTCGAGGCCCCGATCTCCTTCCTGGCTTGCGGCCAGGGAAGGATTATGGCAGCACAGCAGGTGGGTTCACTTCCACCTGGGGTTTGAGTGGGGGAAGGGGGTGGGGGGAGAGCGTGATCCACTTACAGGGAAGTAGAGGAGGAAGGCCCCGAAGAGAATCACCTCGAGCAGCACGACGCCCGACGAGCGGATGCTCTGTGGGATCAGCACCATCATCTCAACACCATCATCATCAGCAACATTATCATCATCAGCAAGATTATCATCGTCAGTAACATCACAATCAGCAACATCAGTAACATCTTCAGCAGTACCATCAGCAGCAGCATCATCAGTAACATAATCAGGAACATCATCATCAGCAACATTAGTAACATTGTCATCAGTATATTCAACATCACCGTGATCAGCAGCATCGTCGACCGCAGCATCATCAACACCATCAACACCATCATCATTATGAGCAACACTATTACTGTTATTGCCATCATCACCAGGAACATCATCATCATCAAAAATATGATTGTGATCATCATAATCATCAGTCCTCATGTGATCCATATCAACATGACCCACCATCACCGTGATCAGTTCCACCAGTCTTTGCCAGATGTGTTTGTGTAATGACTCCAGACGTTAACTTTAGAGGTTTCTTTATTTCACGTTGTCGTGAGATAATGCCGACGTGGAGATCGTATGACCGAGCAGACCGTGATGACTTCAAGACAGTGACGACGTGAAGACAGCGACGATGGCCCGAGTCCCTCTCCGCAGACCACGAACATCCCTTCTTGCCCTGCTTTTATCCTCGAGGATTCTCAGGGGGAATTCCCCCAGCTGTCTCTTTTGGACACTCTGGGGGATTTCCCAACCAAGGACCTCTGGGGAATTTCTCAACCAAGACCCTCCAGACTCGCTGGCACCTTGTCTTAGCATCCAGCCTCGCTGACACCCTGTCTTCACCTCGAGACTTACTGACACTGTCTTTATATTTGTAGGACATTATCAATAGGCCAGGGCTCGGGATTGTTTTTCTTGTTTTTGGAGTCTTTGACACTTCTCACAATCATTAAGGGCCTTCATGATGGTGGGCAGGCCCGGGTAAAGCTACGTGGCCAGGAGTCAGAGCCATTCTCTGACAGGGATATCCTCTGGCGTCCACATTATTTAACATATTTTTCAACCACGTAGTTCGAGAAGCCTTCCATGGCTGTACTAGAGGAATTTCCATCTGGTACAGATACAATGGGAGGCTGATCGATGCCTAGGTGCAGTCAAGGGCTGGCTGCCTATTGGTCAACCATGTAATTCTTTCTCACTCTGAGGAGTTAGATGCACTGCTGCTGAACGTGGAGCATGCAACTAAGAGGTGGGTTTTTACCATCAGCCCCACCAAAACTAAGCACCTGCCTGGATATTTTGTACCATCAGACACTTCCACCCCCTCAACTCCCCATGCGTGATGGGACAGTTGTGGAGAGAGTGGAGAAGCTTCCGTACCTGGGCAGTGTGCTTATGGCAAGCTCCGGTTCTGGCAGCAGATGTCTCACTCCGAATCAGTTGAGCAGCATTTTCGTTTCATCAGCTGCATCATGCTTTGTGTAAGCTACCTGGTCTGTCGCTCCACACGAAGCTTCGGGTCTTCTCGATCACAGTTACTGTATGCCTTCTGCAATCTATGCTTGGGAAACGTGGATGCATTAAGGCTAGCCTCCCTATCATCCATCCTGGGTTTAACCAGGCTGGATTGTGTGAGCTCACACATTCTTGAGATCTGGAGTCCCATCAGGGAGCTCCTCCAACAGGCAAGACTATGTTGCCCAGCCACCACAAGCCGAAGCAGCTTCTGTTTGGCTGGTTAGAGGAAGCTAAATGGGCACAGCTCGGGCTATAGAGGAGATGGGCTGATTTGGTACAGGAGGATGTGGAGCTGTTTGGACTTTCCGAAGACTGGTAATAGCGGTGCCAATATCAGCTTGCATGTAGTGAGAGTGTACGTGCCTTGCGCTCCCGCAGGCTGTAAGTGAGCGGCATGGCTGCAAGCGCGAGCCCCATTGCTCCGAGCTGCACGAGGAGCAGCGCGAGGCGCAGGGGCCGCGCGGCGCGTGGGGTCACACAGTGGCCCGAGCGCGGTGCGCAGCATGATGGCCCACAGCGCACACACGGGCCCCCTGCAGCAGCCACACGGGAAAGGGACAGGAAACACGGAGTGGGCGTAGGAGACACAAGTGGGGGTAGGAGACACGGGGTGGGGTAGAAGACACGGAGTGGGGTAGGAGACAACGAGGTGGGGGTAGGAGACACAGGGTAGAGGAAGGAGAGACGAGTTAACCGCAGGAGACGCAGGGAGTGGAGAGCAGGAGATATGGTGAGTGTGGTGCGTCACGAAGTGTCTGCTGCACTGAAACCACCCATCAACTAGTCAACCCGGTCTGTGCACAGTATTTGTAACGTTCTTCATCAATAAAAATAGTGACGCTCAAGACGGAAGTTTCTAACCTGAAGGCAACGCAATCTCTCGGTCTGCCATCTGAGTTTGATCAACCTGGACTCAATGCAAAACTCGAGACCCTGGCACCAACGTCGGTGGCAGAGGTGTCGATGTTCATTGCACGGCTGCCAAATAAGGCATCGCCACTTGATTACATCCACACGTCGATTCTCAAATCATGCTCAGACGTACTTGCGCCGCTGATTGTCCACCTGGAAAATCTTTCATTTAGCGAGGGGGCTGTTTCCCAGACCGGTTCAAAATGGCGCAGGTAACACTGCTCATGAAAAAAATTGTCTTGAGCCATAGTGACCCCACAAACTATCGCCCAATATCAAACCTGAGTACGATTTTAAACGTCATTAAGTGCCTGTGTCTCAAGCGGTTACTTCCCCACGTATCTGTTAATGGCTGATTCAACCCCTAGCAAACGGCGTACCAGAACTTACACAGCACTGAGACGAGTCTACTAAAGATCACTGATGACCTCTACAAGATCATGGATGACCAGTGGGCTGTAGCGTTGGTTAGCCTTGATCTCTCAGGCGCCTTCAACACCGACAACTATGAGATACTCATCAGTTGGCTAAGGTCAAGGTTCGGTGTATCGGGCACAGCACAAGGGTGGATTGAATCATACCTATATGGTCGATCACAGTTCGTCAATCTGGGTGTCAAACATTCATCGCCTATGCCATGCCGAGTTGGCGTAGCACAGGGGTCTGTATCTCCGATCGCCGATATCATCTGATCTCATGAAATCAAGTTCCATCAATATGCTGATGATAAACAATTGTACTCCACAGTACAATGATTTGGACAGCCTTTATAACCTCGAAGATTGCACCCCAGCGGTGCACATGTAGTTTTCACGAAACGAGATGCTCCTTCATCCAGAAAGATCGGAGGTTCTGTTGGTTGGCACTGACAAAAAAAATAGTGGGATGATCAGGTGTGGTGGTCGCAGACTCCAGGATTCAGTTTTCTGCTCAACTACTTGGCCACATGCAAAATACAGTCAGGTCCTATATTTTTCATATCAGGTGTTTACGACTCATTCGACCACTCACTATTCAGTCATGATATAGCCAACACGCTGGCGTGTAGCATCGTATTGACAAGGCTCTACAGGAAGTCTGCACAAAATATTACCAAGCTGTAGCATGTACAAAATTCTTTAGCACGTGTCGTGACGGGTACTGCAAGATCTGACCATGTCCATCCAGTGCGTCAAGGAGCATAAACGATCATGCGAACTACGGACATCTTCGCAGCGGATTTTGGCTAGCCATCGAACAAAGACTGTCACTGCATCGCGGGTGTTCAGCTATGCTTCTGCAACCGTCTGGAACGCTCTTCCTTCTGATATAAGTGTAGTGTGGGTTTCACGAGAGTGGAGACGGACGGTTAGAGGCAACACCTTTATTAACAATGGCTACAATACAGCACGTAGCGAACCCTAACACCTGAAGGGGTAACGGCCCCTTCACCTATGGAGGTACCAACTCCGGACTGACGTGCCCTACTACTGGGGCTACGGTCACTGGGTCCTCCGGCTAAGGGTGACCTAGGGGAGGCTATTCTGACCTGACCTAGCCAAGGTACAGGTCCCGACCACTGGGCCGCTCAGACCCGGCCCTTACAAGGACGGCGGGTCAGGGGAGTTCCAGGGTCCTGGCTAGCTGGTCTTCAGTCTTCAACTGGCTGTCCAGAGGTCCAGCTTTTATATAGCTCTGGAGGCGTGCCCATCCCCGGCCACGCCTCCCTTCCAGAGACTTCCAAGGGGGGTCCCGGGGGATCCCAGCACACTCCACAGCCCCCCCTTGCCTCGGAGTTGGGGAATCTAGTGGCCCCTATCCCGGTCCGAGGTATTGCCCCTGGTGGACCCCGTCTGCAACTGCATGTAAGTAGCGCGACCGATTTAGTATATATGTAGAGGAGTAATATGGGGACGTAACGTCATGTGCGCTGGACGGGGGCGATGATGTCATGGGATGTTACGTCATGCGCGCTGGGCGGGGCGATGACGTCATGGGACGTGACGTCATGCGCGCAGGGCGGGGCGATAACGTCATGTCTCCTCTAGGTACTTAAGGGGGACCCCGTGACGAAAGCGGGGTCACTGTGAGAGCCCGGGATAGAGAACGGTTGAAGAGGAGCCGCCGGGTTAGGGCTCAAGGAGTCTGGAGAGAAGCCAGCGATAGGCATAGGAGGTGCTGCTCTCCCCGGTCGGTGGGTGTTGGCTGAACCCCCCGATCCGACTCGAGGGAGAGAGCCCTGGAGCTAGCCGAGCTAGTTACAGACAGAGTGCAGGGTCGTGTGAAGGACCCAGTATAGGACCCCTACCCCTGGGGAAGTTATCTAAATCCTTAATAAATAACCGGCGCAAGCCCTTACCTGAAGACCTGCCTCCGCATCGTCATTTGCACCTCACAATATATATAGCCCTATTTACAGCACTACATAAGGAAGCCAATGGAGCTACGCACTTTGAAATCTCGATTGAAAACGAATTTCTTTAGAACTTCGTTTTTTGTTTAGTTTGTTGTCCTTCCCCCACACCTCCGATTATCAGGGTTGGCTACATATGGTGCGAAATCATTTCAACATACAGACGTTACAAGGACAGCCACAGCCCAAGGTCGTTGATAGTGGCGACAGCTACAGGACACTGCAGCTACATAGAGATGCATAGGTTGCATAGAGGTACATAGAGTTACATAGAGAAACATAGTTACAAAGAGTTGTACAATTACATGGAGATCTATAGTCATATAGAGTTGCATAGAGATTCATAGAGTTACATAAGAGATGTATAGCGTTACATAAAGATATATCAAGATACATAGAGACCAGTAGAATTATTCATACTCTCAGACCACAGCCCAAGTCGATTAGTAGTGGTGGCAATTGCATTACATCGCAGGGTGGAGGGAATATGCAAACTATCACGAACAGAAACACATTATTTACACAACAAACAGTGCACGTGGGTTTGGTTGATCACGCAGTAGGAGTTGGTGGATGATGCGTGAGAGGTTGGTGGATCACGTGGATGGGGTTGGTGGATCACGTGGGTGGGGTTGGTGGATCACGTGGGTGGGGTTCGTGGATCACGTGGTAGGTGTTGATGGCTCACGTGGGTGGGGTTGGTGGATCATGCGCGAGGGGTTGGTGGATCACATCGGTGGGGTTGGTGGATCACGCGGAGCTGTCGTGCTGTGCTGCCTGTGGGGAGCGGCACTCACTGGCAGGGCCATCCCTGGCAGTGTGGTTGGGCCGGTAGAAGCCCGGGAGACACACGCACTCGTAGCCCTCCAGGCGGAACCCGAGGCCCTTCAAGGGGACGCACTACAGGAGGGAGGAGAGTGGAGACAGGTACGGGGCGTGGGGTCGGACAGAGAGCCGATGTGGTGTTACCGGGCTAAGGGTATAAGGGATCTTCATCATTACAATCACTGTCCCTACTCCGGTAAACATGGGTGGCAGTGCAGTTGTGATACGCGTGCCTCACAGCAAAAAGGTCCTGAGTTTGATTACCGACTCTGGCGCATTTCTGTGCGGAGTGTGTATGTTCTCCCCCTGTTCTGTATTGGTTTCCTCCGGGTTCTCCGATTTCCTCCCATAGCTAAAAAACACAATGTCACCGGTAGTGGCCGAAACATCACCAATACTGAACATTACCTGCAAATAACTGAAAGAGGGATCACATAGAGCAGCAGGAATATTGCCCCTGTACAGCGAAAACTTGGCAGGACACTCCTGAAAAAAAAAGAGTCTTGAGACTCAGCAACGCTTTCCTGGGTGAACACAAGTCTACATACCTTTACAATAACAAAAACTTCCCTTTGCTAATAAGTGGCGGTGACGTCACGACGACACTTGTGCCATGCTAGGTTCGCTTTGAGGCCACGTGGAGTGTTGAAAGCTCGCTGCTGGCAGGTCACAGAACAGACCCAGGTGCCATTGGTTGTCTGACTGAGATGACTGGAAAATGCACCAACTATGCTCCTCACTGTACCATTATTCTGCGTTGTAGTTACTCGGCGCTCTGCTTGTCATGAGCATCACTCCTCTGCCCTATGTTGTTGCTGGAGGGTGGCTCCCTAGCAGTGTCCTTCACGAACCTCCTCCACAGAGGCTGATCTTAAAACCGCTGGTACCAGTCATCAGCAAGTCCAATCAGCTCCACATACTTCTGTGCCACATCACTCCATCTCTTCTCTAGCGTGTGCCGTGCCCATTTAGCCCCATTTATCCAGCCAAACAGAAGCTGCTTCGGCATGATGATGTGGCTGGGCACGCAGGCTAAATGACCCTGCGAACAGAGTCTCGCTTGATTTGAAGCTTTCGTGACTCCAAGGATTCTTTGGTTTTATTCGGTAAAGTCACGTAGGTAAAATGAAATAAAATCAAAGAAAACAATTAAATCACGACGTTTCGGAGGCAACACAAGCTTCCGTCTTCAGGTGGAATAGTCACAGCAGAAAATCTTTGTGTAGTACTTAACATCTTTGGTTCTTTCGGTAAAGTCACGTAGAATGAGAATAAAATAATAAATTGATAAAATAAAATAACACAATAAAATTCTCACGACGTTTCGGCCACAACACAAGCGGCCTTCATCAGGTAAAGGGACGAGACTGTCTGGAGGACAGCGCTGGAGCGAACACAGCCAAGCTCAGACCGCGACCTTTAAGCTGTGTGAGAAGAAACAGAGCGCCTTGACAAAGGAATTAGCATAGCATTTAGCATTGAAATAGCTCAGTGATTAGCTTGTGACTGGTCACAGAAATGGCTATGTTAAAGTCAAAGCATACACATCCACAGAGGCACCCCTTGACAAAGGAATTAGCATAGAATTTAGCATTGAAATAGCTGAGTGATTAGCTTGTGACTGGTCGCAGAAATGGCTATGTTAAAGTCAAAGCATACACATTCACAGAGGCACCTAGTACAAATCAAACAGGAGAATTTAGCATTGAAATAACTGTTTGATTTGTACTGGCTGCCTCTGTGAATGTGTATGCTTTGACTTTAACATAGCCATTTCTGTGACCAGTCACAAGCTAATCACTCAGCTATTTCAATGCTAAATTCTATGCTAATTCCTTTGTCAAGGGGTGACTCTGTGGATGTGTATGCTTTGACTTTAACATAGCCATTTCTGTGACCAGTCACAAGCTAATCACTCAGCTATTTCAATGCTAAATTCTATGCTAATTCCTTTGTCAAGGCGCTCTGTTTCTTCTCACACAGCTTAAAGGTCGCGGTCTGAGCTTGGCTGTGTTTGCTCCAGCGCTGTCCTCCAGACAGTCTCGTCCCTTCACCTGATGAAGGCCGCTTGTGTTGTGGCCGAAACGTGCGAATTTTATTGTGTTATTTTATTTTATCAATTTATTATTGTATTCTCATTCTACGTGACTTTACCGAAAGAACCAAAGAAGATTAATCCTTGCAGTGACGAAAGCTTTAAATCGAACAGTACTTAACACTTTACCAAATAAAACAAAAGAGTAAGAGTCTCGCTTCTCGGAGGAGCTCACTGATGGGACTGTGTCCAGATTCTTCAAGGATATGTCAGCTCCTCACACAATCCAATCTCGTTAAACTCAGGATGAATCACAAATGTTTCTTAAGAGGGCTCCACATTTCACAAACATAGAGAAGGGAGATCATGTAACCGAGAAGACCCGAAGCTTTGCATGGAGCGACAGGCCATGGAGCTTCTACACAGCATTACGCACCTGATGAAAATATAATGCTGCGCAACTGATTCGAAGTGAGACCTTGACCGCACCCAGGCATCGATCAGCCTTCCATTGTATATATACCAGATGGAAATTCCACCGAGAACATCCATGGAAAGCTTCTCGAACTAAGTGGTCAAATATACACCACACCTACACACACACCTCACCTACACACACCACACACACCTCACCCACACACCACATACACCACACACACACCTCACACACCTCACCTACACACACCACACACACCTCACCTACACACACCACACACACCTCACCTACACACACCACACACACCTCATCTACACACACCACACACACCTCACCTACACACACACCTCACCTACACACACCACACACATCTCACCTACACACACCACACACACCTCACCAACACACACACCACACCTACACACACCACACACACCTCACCTACACACACCACACACACCTCACCTACACACACCACACACACCTCACCTACGAACACACCTCACCTACACACACCACACCTACACACACCTCACCTACACACACCACACCTACACACACCACACACACCTCACACACATACACCACACACACCTCACCTACACACACCACACGCACCTCACCCACACACCACATACACCACACACACACCTCATACACCTCACCTACACACACCACACACACCTCACACACACACACCACACAAACCTCACCTACACACACCTCACACACCACACCTACACACACCACACACACCTGACCGACACACACCTCGCCAACACACCTTGCACCCGACCTACACACACCACACCTACACACACCACGCCGTCACACACACGCCTACACACACCTCACCTACACACACCACACGCAACCCCAGCATAAATCTCACCTATACACCCCGCACATACACACACCACACGTATACACACCACCCCTACACACACCTCACCTGCACACACCTCACCTACACACACCACACACACACCACACACACCTCACCTACACACACCACACACACACCTCACACACACCACATACACCACACACACCACACACACCTCACCTACACACACCACACACACCTCACTTACACACACCCCATTCACCACACACACACCTCGCCTACACACACCACACGCACGCCCAGCATACAGCTCACCTACTCCCCGCAAATACACACCCCCACACAACACACACCACACACACCACACACACCACACAAAACAAAGATCCCCCATACAGCCTTTAACACACTGCTAGGGAAAGTGCTGTTAGCGAGCACCTATGAAGGTCGGCACGGTACACGAAGGGGTGGGTGGTCAGCACCACGCCCGATCGCCTTTATCTTCCTAGTAGTAGCGATTTTACACACTGCACCAGGTAATCATTTGAGGCTGAGTAGACCTAGGGGAGGCCCAGGACTGGTTCAGATAATCACCACTAGCGTTATACATCCGGGGGAATCGAACTCGGGTTCCCAAGTTTGTAGCGCAGTGTAATAACCACTACCCTACCACGCCCTCAACACCACACATACCACACATCCACGACACACCTCTCCCCCAGTACAGCCTCGGCTGATGTGCTGCGAACTGCCACCCCTATCACTCGTCCACCCAGTGGCAGAGTCACTGCGCTCCAGCCCGGTGCAGGAGGTCACACACAGAACTGTGATGTGATGCGCATCACATCCAGAACTCTGAACCCGACACCAATCCCCTGGCTCGCTGCTCTGGCACACATTTTGCCACCGAGTATCTGCCAATGGCAACCACCTTGCCATCATCAACCAATAGCTCTTACAATGTTTCTCACTACCTCCGAATCAAGTCTAGATCCCCCTTCTTGGTTCGTGTTGTCACCATTCTATAATCTCACCCAGATCCGGAAGAATGCGGCCAACAGAGTTAATCAACGCGGACGTCCAGAATAAACACCTCATTCTAGACCCAGACATAATTGCACCTTTTGGCCTTGATATTCCTTCGCCTGTTCCAATAATGCTGGTAGGACCCTCCTGGTTACACCAGCCCACAGGGGATTATTGTGTCCGTCCGTCGTGCATCCAAAAATTGGAGGGGTGGGTGGAGAGGGGAGGGTGGGGAGGGGCTGGGTGGGGAGGGTGGGAAGGGGCTGGGTATAAAACTCAACGTTTAACCTACTCACGCCGGTTTGTGCCCGCCCTCACAGTCGGGCATATTTGCGAAATACACCACGTGGTGCCGCTGTTGACCCTGGAAATTGACCGAGCAACCCAACGTTCCTACAAGCTCCCTCTGCAGGAATGTGTTACATCGGTAGAACCATCAACCTCACCAGAATATCATTGAAGGGCCGATGCGCATAAATGGAAACTTAAAGACACAAACCACTGTGGCCATGCAACCCGAACTATGGACCGCATCGTAAACTACTGTAGTCTGTGCGCTCCTTTAACAGAGGAGGAGAAACAGCACCACTACACAAGCTCTCTCCTAAAACCCTCACGTCGTGGTCAGCAGAACCTGACATTGGCGTTGAGCTCCTGAAGCACATTGCTGCCATACTTAACACAGACATTTAGCCTTGGTCTATCAACGCTCTGCGGACTCTTACAAAGTTTAACTAATTTCCTGTGTAACGTAGATATAGCACTGGAGGAGCGGGGTAACACGGGGACAGCCACGGCACCTGAGGGCAAGGGGCAGGTGGAAGCAGCTCAGCATAGCAGGTGCAGTCGAGACGACGCAGGGGAGGGATGACGGCGTCCAACAACACGAGGAGGAGAGTCGGGGTAGGCTGGCCAGAGGAGGAACTGGTGGCAGTTGGCATGGCAATAGGCCGTGATTGACGGGATGGAGAGGGAGGCCCTGGATAGTCCAGGGGGTGTATGACCCAAGGGGCCAATGTGTATGAAGATATAGGGGGCGGATAACGGGTGAAGACAAAAGGCAGAGGCTAGGGTAAGAGCATAAAAGCCGGAGGGACCGGCAGGGAGCGGTCCCTGGGGAGCAGTGTGAAGCAGAGGGGGCAGGACCAGGGCAGTGAGGAGAAAGTGCCGGGTTGGAGGAGGTTGGCGTGACTGACGGGATGGGCGAGTCGGAGAGAGAGGGAGAGAGCAGGAGATCCAGTGGCCGGGTGAGTGGGTGATTTTGGAGAGAGCGAGTGGTCTATGGGCCGCTTGGACAACGTGCAGAGTTCTGAGCAGTGTGGACAAGGGGTAATATTATGAGAGTTACGCATCAACACGGTAGCAACATACATTGGATTATTTTGCTGACGTTATCGTTTGTGGAGTTCTGATGAACCCGCCCAATGTTGAAAGAGAAGATTGTGAGTCGTCCCCGTACGTCGCAGTCATACTTACACCGACCATCCAAACACAGACGCTAGTTCCCAGACCATCATCCGAGTTAAACCCAAACCCAGACAAGTGCCCCACCGGACACCCACCCCCATTTCCATGTCTCTGTGTTTCGTGCCCCTGCGTCTCTGTGGCTCACGTCCCAGTGTCTTTTTGTCTCGTTTTTCCGTGTCCCCGTGTCTCCATGTCCCTGTGTATCATGCCACCGTATCCCGTGTTCTTGTGGCTCACGTCCCCAGGTCTCCGTGCCTCCATGTGTCTCTGTGTCTCATGTCCCCGTGTCCCCGTTTCTAATGAACCCAGACAACTGACACCTCCCCACGCACCTGTGTGGAGTTGGCCGGGCAGGAGTGCGTCCCTGAGAACCACCCGCCGTGGGAGGCGCACTGATCCACATCCACGGCCTGCAGGTCCAGGTCCAGGCGGATCCCACCCCTGGGAGCCAGAGACACAGGGCACGAAGACGTGGCGACGTGGAGACATGGAGACATGGGGACACGCGACACGGAGACATGGGGACACAAGATAAACCCAGGATGGCTCTTAGGCAAGCCAGCCTGAATGTTTTTAACCGGCATAGATGTTCCATTGGGGGGGGGGGGGCACATTTCGCACGCATAAAGAAGGGAGGGCATGACTATGGCTGAGAAGACCCGTTAGCTTCGTGTGGGCAGACCAGGTCCCTTCCACACAGCGTCACGCAGCCGATGAAAAGATAATGCTGCTCGACTGATTCAGAGTTAAACCTCTGCTGCCCCACCAGTTGGGAGTTGTGGGAGTGGAGTGTCCGATGGTACAAATTACCCAGGCAGGTGTTTAGTTTTAGTGGGGTTGATGGTAAGGCCCCACCTCTTAGTAGCATGCACCAGGTTAATCAGCAGTGCCTCCAACTCCTTCTCTGAGTGAGCAACAATCACCAGATCATCAGCATATATAACATGGTCGACACAATACGGAACCATCCCTTGACTGTACCCAGGCATCAATAAGTCACCCAATGTATCTGTACCAGAAAAATATTCCTCCGGTATAGCAATGGAATGCTTCTCGAACTATGTGGTTAAAAAATATGGTCAATATTGCAGGCGCCAGAGGACATCCCTGTCACAACCCAAAGCGAACAAGGAATTACTCTGACTCTCGGCCACGTAGCTTTACCCGGGCCTGCCCACCATCATGAAGGTCCTTATTGATTGTGAGCAGAGAATCATGGACTCTGAAGCAAGAAAAACAGCCCAGAGCCCAGACCTATTGATGGTATCATAGGGATTGACCAGATTAATAAAGCGGAGATGTAAGTTCTGCTGGAATTCCCTACACCTCTGCTGCAGAAGGCGGACAGAGAATATGGCATCTGTGCAGTACCGCCCTGGCCTGAAGCCACATTGGGGCTCCATAAGCCTCTCATCAGTGTGCGATGTTGAATAATCCTTGCCATGATCTTTCCCATCACACTATCTGCACACAAAAGCCACCCTCCTTCATCAGTTCCCTTAGGAGGTCATATCTGCCCGGCGCTTTTCCTGTCTCAGACTCTGGATCGCCTTCCTTACTTCCTCAACAGATGGCACCTCAGCCAGCCACTCATAGGAGTTGACCATTTCTAATATTTGAGGCACTGCAGCCTCAGCAGGGTCGTCCCCACTTTGCCCAATTATGTTTTATGCGCTGAGGGATTTCCCCTCCGCCAAGACCTCACAGATATGCTCAGCACAGAGACACACAGGCACACAGAGACATGAGAGACAAATAACCCAATATAGACTGTTGGAGCAAGTGCTGTTGGCGAGCAACTACGACGATTAGCGAGTTCCTACAGGCACATGAAGAGGCAAAGATCCCCAGTGAAACCTCCAGGGGCTGTTGGGGGCAAGTTGTGTTAGCAAGCACTCGAGGAAGTGTGTGCCGCGTGATCCTGTCTCTGTCATGCGTGGTGGTCCCATCCTCCGGGTAAACACGGAACATTGGGCCAAGGGTGCCAACCACAAGCCAACGTTAGGCCAACGTTGGTCCAAGGGTGCCAACCACATGCCAATGTTGGGCCAACGTTGGTCCAAAGGTGCCAACCACAAGCCAACGTGAGGCTAACGTTGGTCCAAGGGTGCCAACCACATGCCAACGTTGGGCCAACGTTGGTCCAAAGGTGCCAACCACATGCCAACGTTGGGCCAACGCTTCACGTTCACCGAGTGGGTGTTTGGGGACTGCCATTGATGATTCACCAATCATCATTGCCCTGTTACGTCCACTGCTATCGCGCTCCCAGTGTTGATCATGGCTTCGTCTCTCTCTTCTCTGTTGTGTTCACTGACTTCTCAATGTTTTCCAAATGTTCGTACAAAGTTCTGTGCAATGTAGCTTGCGTTTAGCATTTGTAACGTTTTGACCTCTCTCTCTCTCTTCCTTTTGGATGGACAAACGCAGAGAGGATGGAGGGAGGTAGAGGCACAGGGATAAAGGATGAAGAGAGACACAGCGAGTGAGGGATTGTAAAGAACGAGACAGAGGATTGAGAGCGATAGAGACACAGAGAGGATGGAGAGAGACATAAAGAGATAGACACAGAGAGACGATGAATAAAGGCACAGAGATGGAGGGGTTGGAGAGACTGAGTATAGAGAGCGACACACAGAGGATAGAGAGATATAGACAGAATGGAGGAGATACAGACATAGAGAGAGAATCGAAAAGAGACACACAGAGAGAGGATGGAGAGAGACGCAGAGAAACAGGGGGTGGAGAAACAGAGGACAGTAGAGAGAGAGACGGAGAGATAGCGACGCATAGAGAGAGGATGAACATACAGAGAGAGAGAGTGACACACAGAGACAAAGAAAGAGATACATAGATGATAATGGAGAGAAATAAATGATGATGGAAGGACAGGGAGAGGATGGAGAAAGAGGGGGTAGAGGGAGATACACACGCAGAGGGGATGGAGAGAGACAGACACGGAGTGGAGTTGGGACGCTGTGCACGTGCGCATGATGCACGGAGCTGAATTCGGCGCTGTGGATGATGCTGCTGATGATGCTATTGCTGATGCTGCTGACAATTATATTGCTGCTGATGATGATTATATTGCTGCTCGTTATACTGCTGATGATGATACTGTTGCTGGTCTAGCTGCTGCTGCTGATTTCTGCTCATTGAGCTGCTCATGATGATAATGTTGCGGTTACTGGTGATGATGATGAATATGCTGCTGCTGTTGCCATGCTGCTGATGAAGTGCAGCGTGGATGGCGGGGATGATGACGATGATGATGAAGCGCACTGTGACTATGACGATGGAGCACCCAGTGATGATGATGGACGATGCTGAATTTTGGCCGTGAGCGCGCGTTATTTTTGGTAACAATTCCTCATTAGAAAAGGGGAGGGGGTGAAAGGGCGGGGTGAGGGGCTTTAGGATCAGCGCTCAGGGTGTGGAGGTTGGGAGATTTGAGTGTGATGGGGGGGGGGTGAGAAGGGAGAGTGTGAAGGTGTGAGGAGAGAGTGTTAGGGTGGGGTGAGAAGGGAGAGTGTGAGGGTGTGAGGGGAGACTGTGAGGGTGTGAGGGGAGGGTGTTTTGGTGTGAGGGTGTGAGGGGAGGGTGTGAGGGTGTGAGAGTGGGAGGGTGTGAGAGTGTGAGGGTGTGAGGGTGTGAGGGGAGGGTGTTTTGGTGTGAGGGTGTGAGGGGAGGGTGTGAGGGTGTGAGGGTGTGAGGGGAGAGTGTGAGGGTGTGAGTGTGTGAGAGTGGGAGGGTGTGAGAGTGTGAGGGTGTGAGGGGAGAGTGTGAGGGGAGGGTGTGAGGGTGTGAGGGGAGGGTGTGAGAGTGTGAGGGTGTGAGGGTGTGAGGGTATGAGAGTGTGAGGGTGTGAGGGGAGAGTGTGAGGGGAGGGTGTGAGGGTGTGAGGGTGTTACGGTGTGAGGGTGTGAGGGTGTGAGAGTGTGAGGGTGTGAGGGTGTGAGGGTGTGAGGGGAGGTTGTGAGGGTGTGAGGGTGTGAGGGTGTGAGGGGAGGGTGTGAGGGTGTGAGGGAGTTAGGGGAGAGTGTGAGGGTGTGAGGGTGTGAGGGTGTGAGGGGAGGTTGTGAGGGTGTGAGGGGAGGGTGTGAGGGTGTGAGGGGAGTGTGAGGGTGTGAGTGGAGGGTGTGAGGGTGAGAAGGGAGAGTGTGAGGGTGTGAGAGTGTGACGGGAGGGTGTGAGGGTGTGAGGGTGTTAGGGGAGAGTGTTAGGGTGTGAGGGAGTTAGGGGAGAGTGTGAGGCTGTGAGTAACGGTTTAAAGGGAGGGTGTGATGGAGGGGGCGAGGCTGTGTGAGACGAGGGCTGTGTGAAGTGGTGTGTGAAGGTGATGAGGGTGATTCTGACGTCTAGCAATGTCGATGTCTCTCTCTGAATCTCACCGTGGCGCTGTCCCACCACACAACCAGATTTGGCTGTTTAACGTCCATTTCACAGCGAGCGTCTTGATGCAATGTCAATTATTTAACGATAACCCTCCACCACCCGACATAGGCGAATCAAGGTGTCACGTTATTTGTTTTTTTTATGTTTCAGCAAACCAAAGGAATGTTTAAACAGCAAGCAATATGTTGACTATTTAATGCTGACCTTTTGAACATTCCTCATCATCCAGTTTCAACTGGGGCCTCTTTGCCCCACCTGAACACTTAGCTCAGTCGGGTGGTGGAGGGCTATAGTTAAGCAATTGACGTGATATCTACAGGACGATCTAACCCGCAAAAAAAATAATCAGAATCAGAATATTCACTCATATTGGAGGGATCCGATGAGCTATAAATCTCTTTTTCACAGATGTGAAGTATTTATGCATTACTAATCACTGGCCCATCTATCATCAAGACCCTCATCATGAAAATCACCATCAGCATCTCGTCGTCATCATCATCATCACCACCAACCACGTGACCTGTCGTTGATCGTGAATCCTCGTGTCCCGCTCAGGGTCCCGCTCACCCACGCCTCACATCCCCACAACCCCCCCCCCCCCCGTCTCACCTCACATTTCTCACCTCGTCGTGCCTCATCTTTGCCTAGCGCGTCACAACTGACCTCTTCCCTCCTTGAAGCGTCGCCTCAAATCGCTTCACCCCGACCTTCACCTCGTCTTATGTCACCAGACCTTGAATCTCACGCCCTTGACAGGGAGTCGAACCGATCGTTTAAAATTGGGTACGGTTTCAGTTTAACTCAGGGGTCGGTAAAACCAAAGTAACAAGAAGGGCTATTGTTTTTAGAATTCGGTGAACATTTAAAACTCAATGCCTCCCGAGCCGCGCGCGAATACGAGAAAGGGTCCTGGATAGATGAATAATTAACGCCCTTAACGCGACCTCCGGCGACCCCCAATAAATAAACGTTTAAGTTCGAGGTTCTTCGGTTGGGTTGCTTTGAGCGCGCGGCGGGGCGGCCCGAAGCCACGGCCACTCACTTGAACTCGGGCGTGAGCTCGGGCGTGAGGCCGTAGAAGGCGGCGGTGACCGTGAGCAGCCACGCGGGCCGCAGGCGCCCCGCGTCGCAAGCCAGGTAAGGCGGCGACCAGCGCAGGTGTCCGCGCTCCGCCAGGAACGCGTGGCCCGTCTTCCACCGCGGCGTGCGCAGCGACCTCACGTCGTTGGCGAGGGCGCGCATGCGGAGCGGGGGCGCCACGGGTAGCGGAGCCGCGCGCAGCTCGCGGAGCCACCTCCACTCCTCCTCGCCCTCCTCCACGGCTCCCCACAGCCGCGCCCCAGCAGCAGCACCAGTGGCGCTTCCAGCAATTCCAGCACCAGAATCATCATCGGCAGCAGCAGCATCAGCAGCAGCAGCAGCAGCGCCGCTACCGTCATCGGCACTGGCACCACCGCCATCATCGCCATCGCCCGCAGCGCCACCGCCCGCGAGATCCTCGAGAGCGATCGAGTGGCCGCTGCGTGACGCGCGCAGGTACAGGCTGGGGCCCCCGGGCGCGCCCGGGGGGGCCTCGTCCCCGCCCGGCGCGGGGCCCCCCGGGTGCAGCGCGAGGGCGGCGCGAAGCGCGCGCGCGTCCCCCGCGCGCCGCAGCAGCAGGGAGCGCGCGAGCGCGTGGTACCACTCGGCCTCGTCGCGCGCGCTCGCCTCGCGCAGGTCACTCGCCTGCAGCGCCAGGTTGAGGAGGTTCACGGCGCCCAGCAGAGACCACGCGGGCCCGCGCAGCGCCTCGTGCAGCCGCGACGCCGGGTCCCCTTCCCCGGGGTCCCCTTCCCCGGGGTCCCCCTCCCCGGGATCCCCCTCTCCGGCGCCGGCGGCGCCGGCGGCGGTGGGACCCCCCGTCGCTCCTCTCTCGTAACCGTCCGCCTCGGCGGTGCCGCTCGTCTTGTTTTCCTCCATCTCCTTCTCCACGCCGCTGTCGACTCCCGACTCGGAGGGGTAGTCTCTCCACCGCGGAAGGTCGCGCAGCTGGTAGGGCCCCGCGCAGGGAGGGGAGGGCACCGCCGCGGAGAGGGCCGCGGGGTCGCCGCTGAGCAGAAACCTCCGCGCCAGAGCCTCCACCGTGAGCGGCACGCGGCGGCGACTCGCGTTACAGCGCGGGTCCTCCTCCTCCCACGGCCGCTCCGCGCCGTCACCACCTCCGCGTCCCACGCTCCACGCCCGGCCGCCCCCCGAGGTGATGCGGGCCGCCGGGTGTCGTCTCACGCCACCGCCGGTGCCGCCGCCGATGCCGCCGCCGGTGCCGGGGCCCGCGGCGTGAGAGGCCCCCCGTGAGCTCCGCGTGGCGTGACCCGCGGCGGGACCGGGCAGCAGCAGGGCACAGCAGAGCACGGCGCAGAGACAGAGCGCGCAGAGACGCCAGCCTCCGGCGGCAGCAGCGGCAGCGGTGCCGGTGGCGGCAGCAGCCACCATCATCACCATCAGCGCGACGCGGCGCCACGGAGAGAGGGAGCGAGGAACGGTGGTGTCGAGGCGAGAAATGGGAGAGAGGGGCGGGAGGAGAGAGAGCGGGGTGTAGACGGGGAGAGAGAGAGGGGAGGGAGAGGCGGCAGAGAGAGCGGATGAGAGTGAGATACCGTACTGTATTGAGAGAGAGAGTGCGAGAGGCCGAGGCAGGAGTAAGAAAAATTGGAGAAATGAGAGGGAGAATGGGAGGAGAGGGGGTGGGGGGAGACGTGGGTGGCGAGGGCAAGAGGAGATAGAGAGAGAGGAAGGGGTGTAGCGATGGAGTGAGAGGGAGGGGGTGGGATGCTGGAGTGATACAGGGCTGCGCGTGCGTGTGGATGTGTGATTGCGTGTGGCTTCGTGAGTGAATGTGTGTAGGTTCGTGAGTGAATGTGTGTGGGTTCGTGAGTGATTGCGTGTGGCTTCGTGAGTGAATGTGTGTGGGTTCGTGAGTGAATGTGTGTGGGTTCGTGAGTGAATGTGTGCGTGTGGGTTCGTGAGTGAATGTGTGTGTGGGTTCGTGAGTGAATGTGTGTGGGTTCGTGAGTGAATGTGTGTGTGTGGGTTCGTGAGTGAATGCGTGTGTGTGGGTTCGTGAGTGAATGTGTGTGGGTTCGTGAGTGAATTTGTGTGTGTGGGTTCGTGAGTGAATGTGTGTGGGTTCGTGAGTGAATGTGTGTGTGTGGGTTCGTGAGTGAATGTGTGTGGGTTCGTGAGTGAATGTGTGTGTGTGGGTTCGTGAGTGAATGTGTGTGTGTGGGTTCGTGAGTGAATGCGTGTGTGTGGGTTCGTGAGTGAATGTGTGGGTTAGTGTGAGCGCGTCTCTTGATGTGCGTGATAATGTGTGAATGTGCGCGTGAGAGAGTCTGTGCGTGTATGATAAATGATGGCGATAGGGATGGCGCTGCAAGTGATTTCACGGCACTAATCCGCGCTTTGCAAGGGATGGCAGTTCCATCCCTTGCAGCAGCAGCACTCGTCTCTGCAGCAGCAATGCACCAATAACAACAATACGAAGACTTGTTACGCGCACAATTTGGCAAACGGACTTAAGGGGCGAGATGTTAACTACCTCGCCCGGTATGCAGGAGTTTGCATTCTCTCTCCCCCTGGGTCGCTTGGATTTGTCTCCAGGTCCTCCTTTTTCCCCCTCCACATATAGAATCAACATCACGTCTTTAGAGTATTTGGATGCTATAAATTGCCACTTGACGATAAGCCACGAGTTGAGCGATCATTTGTGATAGCCAGGTCGCTCTGAAAAAGAGCTACATAGCTCAGTGGGGCCTTACCTGGTCAAATAGAACCTAGCTGGGTTTAGGTTCGGACGCGACTCGGAGGCGCGGAGCTCCGATCAGTCACGCACAGCCTCCGGCGGAACTGGTGCGCTGTCGTCCCTCGGTGCTTCCTGGAGTTGGAAGGTGACGATGACTCGATCTCGAAGAGGGATGGCATTCCAGGTGGCATGGGCGGCCTGGAGAACACCGACGATCAGCAGTGACGGCCTGTGATTTGGAATGGAAGAGGAAGATCGAGGGACGCGTTGCTCAGGACGCAGCGGCTTTCGAGGGAGGGGAGTAAATGTGAATACCACCGCCAGGCGTTGGCTGGAAGACCCGAGTGTCGAACATCGTGCCGAGTCTCTCCTCATTGCCCAGCCTGATGTGCAGTCGACGTGGAGGATGAGCCCCCTACTTTCTCTCAACCAATTGGAACACCTCCATCAGCCAGGGTTTCTGGGCGGGGGGGGGGGGTCTACATTGAGTACCCAGTGCATTCCTAAATTTCACTCATTACCCCTGGCAAAGGGGAGTGGGTGGTGATGCCAACCCCAGCTACACATAAGCAGACAATGATCACCACATATACGTCTATCCACATGACGTTACACGTATCCTTTAAACATCCTATCAGCTACACGGCCTTCTGGGAGCACACCATTTCCGCAGAATTGGTTGAACGCTAACAAAGTCTAGACCGGTTTTGACCAGATAACTTTTTTCCAGAGTTTTCTGAACCCAAACGGGGTGTATATAAACACTCATCATTAATGGGCTGAAAGCACCTTAAAATAATTAAAACAATCCAGTACCCTCCCATGTGGCTTCCTGGATAAACATGTAAAATCATATTATTATCATTATGTCAATTCTGAGTGTGTGTTTGGGTGTGTAGCAGAATGTGTGTATGAATATGGCTATATGTAGGAGACTGTGTGTATGAATATGGCTATATGTAGGAGACTGTGTATGAATGTGCCTGTGTGTAGGAGACTATATATGAATGTTGCTTTTTGGAGAAGACTGTGGATATGAATCTGGCTGTGTATGGAAGACTGAATATGAATGCGGTTGTGTGTCAGAGACTGTGTGTGTGTGGCTGTGTGCATGAGACTATATATGTGAATGTGGCTTTGTGTAGGAGACTGTATGAATGTGACTGTGTGTATGACTTTGGCTGTGTGCAGGAGACTGTGTCACCAGAGACCGTGCGCTTCAATGCACATATCGATAGGCGGCAAGAGCAGCGTCTTATGGAGCGGTGGAGTGGGAGGGGAGTAAGGGGGAGGAAGGTGAGGTGGAGGAGGTGGAAGTGAGGGGGGATTGTACTCTCCACAAGTAAATCAGCACATACGTGAATAGCGTTCTGTGTGTGTGGAGCCTGAAAATGAGATCTAAAAGGCGACATTTGAGGCAATGGCCGCTCTTCATAGCACACAATACATATGTAGTGCTGATAAATGGAGACACACACTACGTGGTTTCGCGACCAAAATTATTCATAATAACAATTAACTGATTTCTAATCTATTATATAATTACAATAACCCCCCCTCCGCCACCTCTGATTTCTGCACATGATTGGGTATAGTGATTGGGTTCAGTTATTAAATAATACACATTACAACTAGTTACTAATCTACAACTGATTACTAATCATAGCAATTAACTGATTACTAATCTATTATATAATTACAATACCCCCCCTCTCTGATCTCTGCATCTGATTGTGTTAAATGATGACGTCACTCTGCTGCTCTATTTAAGACCAGGAGCAGATGGAAGGCTTCACTATTCTGGCAAATTGCCCGATGATGCTGGATGTAATTACCAGCGAAACGGCGTTCTCAAGAATTGTAAATGTTGTGGATTCACTCTTCAACACACCGATGGGCTAAAGTAGTGAACCATTTGTCTTTTGTCATCGTGACACTTTTTTTTACTGATTGGCCGTGTCGGGTGGTGGAGGGTTACGTCACATTTATAAATAACGCGAACACACTACGTGGTTGGGGGCAACCCGTTTATTAACACTTCCTTAAATTGGGACTTTTACGAAACTGGTTCTATAATCGGTGTAGACGTATCTAACCCCCTATACACGAGGCTATTGAAGATCCACCGAACGTTACCCACTAAATGGACCCTCGATCATCTTCGCGCTTCCCTTTTATCCTGTTCAGCGCTCTATCCCCTAGTGGCGGATATACCGTCGCTACACATACACGTTATTGAAAGGCGATGTTAATGACTAAGGTCATCTTCTTTGCATCATTTGTGCGCGTGCACGCACTCACACCCCGTGCACGCGCACGCGGATTCAGCTGTGCCCGCGGACGGCAGACAGCGCGTAGTGCGCGCTGTTCCTTCTGCATGCCTCACTGCGCTTGAGCGGGAGTGAGAATCGCGATCGCCATCATCACCACCGCTTGTTTACCCAGAAGAGCCTCGCCGAGTCTCAAAAGTCTTACTCGGGAGGGTGCTGACCAGTTTGGCGCAGTATGGGGCGAGTAGTTTTGAGGTTATTTTTAGCACTTGGGATGTGGTTTTGGGCCAATACCGGTTACATGTGTAGTGAGTTCACTGAGTCGCGGACGCACTCTTTGGAGGCAACACATTTATTAACACAAACACACGGGGTAACTGCCCCTTAACAGAATAACAACCTATGGTGGTAGACGACCAGGCTAACTACACTAATTACACCGGAACTTGCTACAGCGGACTGGACCACAGCTTGGGTCCAGGTCCACGTGTTGGAGATTCCGTGGAACATTGAATGTAGACAAAGGATCTTTCAGGATGAACAACAGCAGCCGGTCCCTCTGGGGGACCCGGCTTATATCCTCTGCGGCCACCTGCGAGAATCCTCGAGCAGGATCTCGACCCTGACACGTGTGTAGACTCAACCAGTCACGTGTCCTCTGGGGTCAACCAGAGTGCCACGGCCTTTAGTAACCCTATTTCCATGGCCGGCATTCATACACCCTATCCTGTAGGGGTCGGCACTGCACGCCGAGCGTGGTGCCATCCAGCGCTATCGATCAGTGCTCACCGAGCCCCTCTAGGGCCGGTACTGCACCCACATGTAAGTGGTATCCGCGATGACAATACATTGCACGCCATGCCTCTCGAGGGCCGGCACTACACAGTGACATCCCGCGATGTCACTACACGTGCGTGTGTTTAGCTTTGGAAGGAAGCTCACGCAGAAAAGGGGGGGGGGAGAACATACAAACGCCACGCACTCACTCCCGCTCACAGAATCACACACAGTCTGCATAACTGGGGGAGTACATGCACACTCCATATCGAAAGGCGACCGAGTCGGGAATCAAACCCAGGTGCTTCTCGTTGTGAGGCACGTGTTACCACTGCGCACCTCTGCCGCCCATGCCAGCGAGAGCCGGGTATAGGTTGAGGGCACAGCGGTGATGTCCCTGGCACACGCGGGGACCAGGGCTGCCTCTGTGGCCAACCCGGAAGAAAAAAAACAAATACACTGAACACTTATTTGATTTTGATTGTTTTATTTGTATTATTTTATTATTTCTCTTCTACGTGACTTGACCGAAAGAACCAAAAACCTGAATCCCTGCAGTCACGAAAGCTTTAAATCGAAAATGTACACTGAACACTGTCGTCAATTACTCTGTGGCCTTCACATGATGAGTATGTAATAGGCGACGTTTCGGGCAACGGCCCTTCTTAATGCTCAAACAGCTTCGCGGGTACATGCGTGTACATATACGTATATACTCTTACACATGCTCC